TTTTGTCTTAGTCTCGGCGAACCCTCTGCGGAGATTGTGCGTGTCGAAGCGCTCTCGCTGTGGCGCCGTGCAATATTCTTGCTCGCGAAACGGCCTTTGGAAGTTGTCTCGCGGTTTGCGCGCTTGCTTTCGCAATCCCGCGGTCGCGAGTTCGATTCCCCCCTGGTCCACTGCAGCTCCGGCTTGAAAACTTCAGCTTTTGAGTACAAACGTAGTACGCGGAGCGTGCTCCTGCAGCTCCGGCTGGAAAATCGTAACTTTCAAGTACAGACGTAGTGTGCGGAGCGTGCTCCCGCAGCTCAGGCTGCAAAATCGCAACTTTTAAGTACAAACGTAGTACGCGGAGCACACCCCCGCAGCTCCGGCTTGAAAATCGCAACTTTTAAGTACAAACGTAGTACGCGGAGCACACCCCCGCAGCTCCGGCTTGAAAATCGCAGCTTTTAAGTACAATCGTAGTACGCGGAGCGTGCTCCTGCAGCTCCGGTTGGAAAATCGCAATTTTTAAGTACAGACGTAGTACGCGGAGCACATTCCCGCGGCTCCGGCTGGACAATCGCTATAAGTACAAATAGTACGCGGAGCACACCCCCGCAGCTCCGGCAGCACTTGCGCAGAGCAACTTGCGCAGAGTCACTTGCACAGGGCAACTTGCGCTCAGCGAATTGCACAGAGCACTTGCACAAAGCACTTGCGCAGAGCACCTTGCACAGACCAACTTGCACAGAGCACATGCGCAAAGCGCTCGCACGGAGCAACTGGCGCAGAGCACTTGCGCAGAGCAACTTGCTCAGAGCACTTGCGCAGAGCAACCTGCACAGAGCACTTGCGCGCAGCAGCGTGCAGAGAGCAACTTGCCCGAAAGCAGCCTGGAACAGTGCAGCTTGCGCAGACCACTTTCGTGAGAAACCATGCAGCGCAACTTGAGCAAAGCACATTGCGCTGAGCAGGCTCGCGCAGAGCTACGCTTTATAGAGCCAAGTTGCACAGAGCCACTCGCGTAAAGTAGCTTGCGCTCGCCAGGTAGTAGCGCGCCAAGTTGCGCACAGCCATCTTGCGCAGAGCTAAGTTACACGAGCCTGCTTTGCAGAAACATACGCTTTCATGACATAGCGATTTTTGTGTCTGACTCGGGCAGGAGCCGGTTGCTATTGGCTTGTTTCTTTTTTCCCGAAAGCATCGCGAAGGGTTCTTCCGTGCGGAGCCCTTGGACAAGTTACATAGAGCCAAGTTACATAGAGCCAAGTTACATAGAGCCAAGTTACATAGAGCCAAGTTACATAGAGCCAAGTTACATAGAGCCAAGTTACATAGAGCCAAGTTACATAGAGCCAAGTTACATAGAGCCAAGTTACATAGAGCCAAGTTACATAGAGCCAAGTTACATAGAGCCAAGTTACATAGAGCCAAGTTACATAGAGCCAAGTTACATAGAGCCAAGTTACATAGAGCCAAGTTACATAGAGCCAAGTTACATAGAGCCAAGTTACATAGAGCCAAGTTACATAGAGCCAAGTTACATAGAGCCAAGTTACATAGAGCCAAGTTACATAGAGCCAAGTTACATAGAGCCAAGTTACATAGAGCCAAGTTACATAGAGCCAAGTTACATAGAGCCAAGTTACATAGAGCCAAGTTACATAGAGCCAAGTTACATAGAGCCAAGTTACATAGAGCCAAGTTACATAGAGCCAAGTTACATAGAGCCAAGTTACATAGAGCCAAGTCCAAGGTTAGGTAGAGCTTAGAGCTTCGGCGTTAGCAGCTATGTAAGTTAGTTTAGGTTTCTAAGGCGCCGGGGCGGGAGTTTGATCGTCGCTCGGGATTGCGACCCTCTGCGGAGATTCGGGTGGTCGAAGTTAAAAAACTGAGGATTTTTTACGATTTTTGGCATGCGCGCGCGACCCTCTGCGGAGATTCGCGTGGTCGAGGTTCAAAAACTGGGGACTTTTTACGATTTTTAGCATGCCCGCGCGACCCTCTGCGGAGATTCGCGTGGTCGAGGTTCAAAAACTGAGGACTTTTTACGATTTTTGCATGCGCGCGCGACCCTCTGCGGAGATTCGCGTGGTCGAGGTTCAAAAACTGGGGACTTTTTACGATTTTAGCATGCCGCGCGCGACCCTCTGCGGAGATTCGCGTGGTCGAGGTTCAAAAACTGAGGACTTTTTACGATTTCTGCTGGCCGCGCGCGACCCTCTGCGGAGATTCGCGTGGTCGAGGTTCAAAAACTGGGGACTTTTTACGATTTTTAGCATGCGCGCGCGACCCTCTGCGGAGATTCGCGTGGTCGAGGTTCAAAAACTGAGGACTTTTTACGATTTCTGCTGGCCGCGCGCGACCCTCTGCGGAGATCGTGCGCGTCGAAGCGCTCTCGCTGTGGCGCCGTGCGAATTTGTCTTAGTCTCGGCGAACCCTCTGCGGAGATTGTGCGTGTCGAAGCGCTCTCGCTGTGGCGCCGTGCAATATTCTTGCTCGCGAAACGGCCTTTGGAAGTTGTCTCGTGGTTTGCGCGCCTGCTTTCGCAATCCCGCGGTCGCGGGTTCGATTCCCCCCTGGTCCGCGGCAGCTCCGGCTTGAAAATCGCAGCTTTTAAGTACAAACGTAGTACGCGGAGCGTGCTCCTGCAGCTCCGGCTGGAAAATCGTAACTTTTAAGTACAGACGTAGCGGAGCGTGCTCCCGCAGCTCAGGCTGGAAAATCGCAACTTTTAAGTACAAACGTAGTACGCGGAGCACACCCCCGCAGCTCCGGCTTGAAAATCGCAACTTTAAAGTACAAACGCAGTACGCGGAGCGTGCTCCTGCAGCTCCGGGTGGAAAATCGTAATTTTTACGTACAGACGTAGTATGCGGAGCGTGCTCCCGCAGCTCAGGCTGGAAAATCGCAACTTTTAAGTACAGACGTAGTACGCGGAGCACACCCCCGCAGCTCCGGCTGGAGAATCGCAACTTTTAAGTACAAACGTAGTACGCGGAGCACACCCCCGCAGCTCCGCCAGCACTTGCGCAGAGCAACTTGCGCAGAGTCACTTGCGCAGAGCAACTTGCGCAGAGCAACTTGCACAGAGCAATTGCACAAAGCACTTGCGCAGAGCAACTTGCACAGACCAACTTGCACAGAGCACATGCGCAAAGCGCTTGCACGGAGCAACTGGCGCAGAGCCCTTGCGCAGAGCAACTTGCTCAGAGCACTTGCGCAGAGCAACTTGCACAGAGCAGGCGCAGAGCAACTTGCACAGACCAACTTGCGCAGAGCACATGCGCAAAGCGCTTGCGCGGAGCAACTGGCGCAGAGCACTTGCGCAGAGCAACTTGCTCAGAGCACTTGCGCAGAGCAACTTGCACAGAGCACTTGCGCGCAGCAGCTTGCAGAGAGCAACTTGCGCGCAGCAGCCTGGAACAATGCAGCTTGCGCAGACCACTTTCGTGAGAAATCGCGCGGCGCAGCTCGAATGATGAGATGGAGCTCTCATGTGACCATACACACTGAGCATCGCCGCGCGCAGACACGCTCGCCGCAGCGATGTAAAAAGGTGTCTCCGCGGCTGGATGAGCACCTGTGGAAAAATGCTTTCGGGCCAATCGTCCTCTAGTTTTTTAGTTAGTTTGGTTAGAAATACATGGCCTTGCATCAAGAGATGATGGGGTTGTAATTCGTGAGTGTTTTCGATGGTCCGTGCCAGGAGCTTCCGAATAGTTCAGTTCCTGCCAGCTTCTTCAAGCTCAAGCAAGCTATGTCCACCTACGGAAAGTGGTTTGGGAGCCAAAATGGTAAGCTTGACCGCTTGGTCTGCCTCTTTTCGGGAGTTGTTTTCTCTTCCTGGCCGCTTGCAATCTGTTGGTCAGCATGGCTCTTTTGTGTCGCTAGCACCTGCCAAGGTTGAGTGCAGCGAGGTCGCGCCCCGGCCAGTCAGGGGGCGGGGCCCCAGAAGAAGCATCGTGTTGAGTGTGTGGCAAAACCAGGAGCTTACTTTGACACCTTGTGTTTCATGGGGTCGTTAAACAGGGCTCCTTAAAAGATCTCCATTTCGCAACCATTTGAAACATGTTGCATCATTTTGCCCATTTTTGCTTATTGTGGTTTAGTGGTTGAAATCCAACCACTTAACTGCTAACAAATGATTTTTTGCTCCCCTTCCAACGTCAACCAAGTGTCAGTTGCCATGTTGGTTGGAGGAAGGGTAAAGATGCAGAACTGGAATCTATGCCGCGGCTCTTGAATTTGTCCTGGTTCTGCAGCAGCAAAATACAAATCTGCACGATTTGAAGCCGCCCTTACACCAACCTTACACAACCCTTACATAACCTTCTTGTATCATGGGGCTGTTGGGGGTAGGGATTTGGGGGTAGACATCCGGGTACTCATTTCAGTCTTAGATGACCTGCGCAGCTGTCAGCCTAGCAGCAGATACAGCATGCTGCGACATTCGATCGTGTTTTCCCAATTTTTTATTGGCAACCTCGGAGCTCCCCAATCCAGGACCTGAGGCATTCCTTGATATGAGGATTCCTGTGGCTTTCAGATTTTGAAGGCAACCCCCACAATTTCCGAGTGTGGTTACCTGGGGCGTCCCGGGGGGCTGTGGAGTGACAAATGTCATGTTGGGCGCTGCCAGCGTTTGAGAACGTCACGAAGCCGTCATGAAACTTGAGCCAGGTTGGATCTGGACACGTGTGGGCCGTGGTTGAGACTTCTGTTGAGAAACCTGATCTGGAGCAACTCAGCGGGACTGAAGCATGGCTCCAACAAAACTCCTTACTTTGAGCGCTCACAACTGCAGCGAAGTTGCGAGCGCTCGCCTGCAACCGCATTCCGACTCCACCTTTTTCCCCACCCCACCTCCACCCGACACCCCCACTCCACCCAAACCCCACCAGAAGCTCCTACCGTATTCCACAACCCCACCCCAACTCCACCCCCTCCCGCTCCACCCCCCCCCCCCCCCACTACTCCTGAGGTGCGCCATTGACTGCCCACACAGTAAGAAGTTCCCCGCCATGTCCCTGGCCGGCCTGGCGGGCGAGCTGAGTGTCGACCTTGCTGCCGCTCGGAGGTGACACGCTCGCTTTCATGGATCCGGGAAGATCCGTGGGGATTCAACCTGAAAGGACCACCACTTTTTTTTCTGGGGTTCCAACCTAAAAGACAGAACCTGCTGAAATGGCTTCCTTGAAGGGAGCGTGGCCCTCTGTGCTACATTTGGCCTTCGGAAATTGAATGGTGTATGATAGATGTTCTCACTTCTTGAGTTCCTGGGTCCTGGACTTGAAACTATTATACCTTTTTTGGGAGGACGATTTTAGTGGTAAATAACAAGTGCAGACTTGTTTTGGCCAATCCGTTCAATAAGTAAGCATGATATGCGGGACCGTTGCGGTGTTCGAAACTCCTCCAACAAGCACAGCCTTGGCAATGCCCCTTCTCCATTTGTGCCATGGTCGAAGCACGGCCAGCAGCCTTAAGCAATCTCACAGGATCTTTCAGCAACCATGCCAAGTAATTATTTGCAAAGCTGGCATGAATCCAGGTCGACCTGCCGAAGGCTCATCATGCAGAGTATGAAATAGACCTCCCCAATGAGTATAAGTGGACAGAAGTTGCAGCTTGCGAAGGCCTGACGCATTTGCGCACTACTTCTGTGTTGCATGAACCTTTTGACTCCTTTTGACAACAAACTCGCGAGGTTTCATGTTGTGTGCTGGAGCCTGAACACAGAGGGACCTGACGTCGCCTGGCCATCTTGAAATTTGAGAGAGAGGTGTTTGTGTGTGTGAGTGTGTGTGTGTGTGAGTGGGTGGGTGTGGGTGGGTGTGGTGTGCTCCAAGCTATCGCATTGAACGGAAAGCAACTCTGTCTGCAAAATCACTTGCAAAAACCTGAAGAAACTTGCTTGCCGAAACCATTCCTCTACCTCCGTGAAAGCACTAGTTTGAAATGTTTGTAGCTTCTTGTCCCGTCGGATAGACGAAATGGCTTTCGTTCGTGGCATGCAGTGTCAACCACATGCAGGTTGAGGCGATTACATGCCCCAACCGATGTGATGTTCTTGCTTTTGGTGTTGGACTTGTTTCGCCATCAGCAGAGCACTTGGAGTCTCCACAGAACATATTTAGAACCATGGTCAAATTATGAAGCAAGAAAGGGGCCAAATACAGAATCTCAGCCGACTCGCTTTCTTAGACTTATACCAGGATGAAATTTATCCCCTGATTGAGACCATGTTAGTGATCATTTGCTGGGAGAAAGAGCACCCAATGCGGCCTGGGTTGAGCTGCACGTCTTCGCCTCCAGTGTGAGGCTATAAAGAGCATCCGCTTTCAGCTAGGCGGGGAGCCTGCAAAAAGGAACATACTCTGAACATGGTTCCCAGCCATCCGTTTCCTTAGGTTCGTAGCTTTTTGCTTGGTTTAGTGGGGGCTTCCACGAAACCCACTAGCTTTAGCAGGGGATCAGTTCGGACAGCAAATGAACAGGAAACCAACGGCCAACGCGCGAAAGACATCAGCAAATGAGAGGTTGCACAGCACCTGGTATGGGTATAGGTTGGGTGTATAATACTTAAGGAACAAGATCGTCCATATGTCGCCTTTTGCAGGGTCTCAGACAAAAGGTTTACGGAGATGCCCCTACTTTTGACAGGCTTGAGTCAGCTTCGAAGAGGAAAGGGTTCGGATGGCTTTGCTGCACTGCGAGCTTGAAGCCTAGCTGGATCATTCTTATTCTGGGATACAATAGCTCAACACATATATGAGCTTGGCAAATACTGCGTCACATGTGGTTTTGTTTTGATTTATTGTGTTATGGTCTGTTCGGTTCAGTGGTCTGGTGGACATGTTGCGGAGGAAATCCCAACTGTAGCTGTTGTCCAACATATGGATGCATTTGGAACCATTCTGGACATGAAGTTGTTTCTTTGAGGCAGGTTGGAAACAGACATATAATCTCCTCACTGTTTTTGTGTAGCGGTGGCTGCACAAACTGAGTAGGTCTACATAGATGTCGGAGGCGGCGCAACATTTCACACCCGTACATACCGCAAGTACTATAGTTTGCATAATGTGCACCAAAGAGACGCTTGAAGTAGGCAGAATCGCCCATACTCTAAGATGTCGAGGGCGGCGCACCGTGGGAGTTTGTGTGGAGGCTCATTGAACGCGAATACGAGCATTGTCAGCAACAGCAGCGGCTTCGACCCAAGCGGCTGCCCATTCTTTCGCGTTGTGGCTGGCTACGAGCGCCCAGAAGAGGAGACCAAGGGACGGAAGGAAGGGGGGGGGAGTGTCAGATCAAAAAACATGAAACGCGTGCCTGGCGGTAGATAAGGCAGGGATGCCATTCATCAAGAATTTGAGTAGCGATGACAGACGTATTCAGGCATTTGACTTTGTGTGGCAATGCGGCACGTGTTTCAATGATCAAACGCATGACGTAGCTTTGGAACTGTACCCAAATTTCTTCAACGAGGTCCCAAGGGGCCCAAGAGGTGTTGGACATCGCACGCTGAGTTGAGAAAGCGAAGCACTTGGGACTCGCAGCTGAGCTCAAAAATGGGAAGGCTCCATGCTGATGTTCTTTTCCCTTTTTTATGGTGGACGCCCTTTTTGGGGGCTGGTTGAGAGGGAAACCAAAAGTATAAGCCGATTCACATCACCCCGAACCTCAGGTTAATTAGCATTGTAAGACATGTCATACTCCACACAGACCAACAACTTCGCGCAATCCGGAAGTTGCTACCGCACGTTGGGAGTGGGCCTCCGCATGGCCTGCCTAGGAGCAGTCCTCAGATGGCTGGACATTTGAAGCCGCTTCATTCGATGCCGCCAGCGGACCTTTGGCGGAGAATCCCAAGCAGGTCTGGGAGCTTATGACTTGTGCTATATGTGTCCCTTGTATTTGGCCTGTTGTTTCGTCTTTGCGCATGCAACATGCGACTCGTGTATTTGTGACACGCGCGCACACACACACCCGTGCCTGTCATAACGCACGGCAAGTACGGTAAGCTCGAGGGCAACCACGCATGCCCACGCCCACACGCACGAACACACCCCACGCACGCACACACACAAACACCACACACACAGACCACACACACACACCACACACACACACCACACACACAGACGCACGCCACACACACACACACCACACACACACACACCACGGACACCACGCACACACGCACACACGCACACACGCACGCACACACACACACACACACAAATACACACACACACACATTTACACACACAAATTTACGCACACGCGCACACACACACACACACACACACGCACACACACACACACACACACACACACACACTCACACACACACACACACCCACGCGCAAGTGCGCACGCACACGCACCCGCACCCGCACTTGCACGCGCACGCGCACGCGCACGCGCTTGCGCACGCGCACGCGCACGCGCACGCGCACACGCACACACACACAGACACACGCACGCACGCACGCACGCACGCACGCACGCACGCACGCACGCACGCACGCACGCACGCACGCACCCACACACACACACACACACACACACACGCACGCACGCACGCACGCACGCACTCGCACACCCGCACCCGCACACCCGCACACCCGCACACCCGCACACCCGCACACGCGCACCCGCACACGCACACGCACACGCACACGCACACGCACACACACACACACACCACACACACACACACACGCCACACACACCACACACACCACACACACACGCACCACACACACACACACAACACACACGCACCACACACACACACCACACACACACAGACACCACACCACACACACACACACCACACACACACACACCACACACAAACACACACCACACACCACACACACACACAGACACCACACCACACACACACACACCACACACACACACACACACCACACACACACACACCACACACAAACACACACCACACACCACACACACACACATCACGCACACCACGCACATCACACAGGCACACACACCTCACACACCACACACAACAGCGGACACAAGTGCACGCACGCATCCACAAGCCCATGCGCCCGCCCTCCCCCACTAACCCGCCCGCCCGCGCGCGTTCGTGCACGCACTCGCGCTTCCCATGGAGCTAAGGCATGGCCACCATTCCGCTTTCTTACCGCTGCCCTAGCTACAGCTTGAGCGGCTCTTCCCGTGCCGCTCGTTCACATGGGTCTTAGGGCACAGAAATGAGTGGCTCGTCTTTTTTTGAGTTGGTAGGAAACTCTTTTTTTTTGGGGGGGGGTTCTCGCAAATCTGTCTTGGAGTTCGGTCAGGGTGGGTGGTGGGTTGAAGATCTGTTGGTTTCGCGCTGAAATCAAGGCAAGCAGGGCAGTGCAGCCTCATGGAAGGAACTCTTTTTTCCCGACTGGCACTACTTTTGCCAGGTTTTTGGAAGACGAGTTTCCCCGCGGGCAATGATAAACCTTCCATTTGGTTATTTTCATTTTCCCCCTCTTGGTGTTAAAGGGAATCTATCACTGCTGGATTTTTTATTTTTGACAGGGGACTTAAGCAAATGGAGGAAACCGTAACGCTCTACGAGAGGAACGCGTAGCGCGCCAGACCCTTGTGTTGGGCCCTCCCAGCAACCTACTACGCCTCTGGGGTGGCTACTGCCCCCGGAACGCCAGTGCGTGGGAAGTTCGAGCAGCAGAAAATGAAGCCCAGGTGGTACACAGGAAAATGATTTTGTAACTAAAACCACAGCCTTTGGATTTTTCGTCGCAGGCAAGCGTTCGCATGAATTTTAGTCAGGGGTTGTTTTGTGCGGTTTTGTGCCACCTTGTGCTTAGCCTTCTGTCACCATTTGTTTTGGCACCTGTGTTGTGCCCTTTTGTGCCTCCATGCAGTTTTGGTCCTTAAACATCTGCAACAATCTAGCGCAGAGAGGTCTTTTTGTTTGCTGATGTACAGTATCTGGCCTAGGTGTTCCACTAAAGGGTTAGAACCATCGCCCTTGTTTGTCGCCAATTACTGGTTTTGAGGTTCCAAGGGTGCATTCAATTTCTTGGGGCTGGTTCCTGATGGCTCGCCATTTTGTTTGGGAAACTTCGGGACGGCCTTGGTTTCCGAAGCAGGTCTCAAACAAGTACAACCTCAAGTTGTATTTTTCAATGACAGAAAAGACAAGAACGGCCGCCCTCATCCCTCCAAGGCTTCAGCCTCCGCCGCCCTCGGCGCTATGGCCCTTGCGCTCAGTCGTCCGGCACTTGCCGCGGCCATGGCGTGCGGCGCGGACGCGCAGGCGGATGGTTTGTTTTTGTTTTTTCCGTCTTGAGGCCTGAAAAGGGCCAAAGTTACCTTACACAAGAGGAAAAGCGGGCATTGGATGTGTGTATTTTTGCGTTCTTGCCTGCAAGAAAATGGATGGCCCGGATCGCCCCACCTCTCAGTGCAGTCCAAAAAGTCCTTTCTGAGGAGGAACAGGCTTGTGCCGGGGCAACCAATGAAGCCTGATGTTGCTGGCGGTATCAGATTCAGAGTCCAAGGCGAGGGAGTGCTTCAGTGGTTGCTTGCTTGCTGTGCTGTGCTCTGGCGCCTGAGTAGTTGGGCTAGGTTTGTTTGCGTGCGTAGATTCTGCAGAGATTTTGACTGTCCACGGAGCTTGTCGCGGTGCCATTGCGCGCCCAGTGATCAGCATCATAAGATGAAGTCAGATTGCAGTCCTCGCGAACTGTCCATGCAGCTTGACTGTCTAGAGAGCTTGACTGTCCTCGCGTCAGATGCTTTGGTCTGGCCAACCCATGCGAGCGTTTTTTCCCCCTTCACACTCCCCAGCGTATAACTTCCATTTGCTTAAAGAATATTTCTTGTTTTCCCTGTTGGTTGAGCGAATCAATTTTCTCAGATTCTTCCAGGGCGAAGAAGCAAATGGTCAGAACCCCATGCTCAGGCATCGGGCTGCGACGCCGCCTGGCAAAGAATTCGATTTCAGATCAATACATATATATAAATCATGCATGTGTATAGAATATGGGAAATGTACATGCACATACATGTCGTGTTTCTCATGTTTGCACCAGTGAATTCAAGTTCAACTGAAGCAGAGCTTCTGGAAACAAGGCGCACGGGAGCACATTTGCGGGCACGTGAGGGCACCGCCCATGCCTTTGGGCTTGATACCCGCGCCCCCGGGCACGTGGCCGGGTGCCTGCCCCTCGTACACTTTCTTCCCGTACGCAGATTTGAGCGCAAAGAGTTTACCTTGAATCTAGCTAACATACGCGCATCAACTGTTAAATCATTGAAAAATGGCAATGTATAGCATATGAATCTGCAACGGCGCTTGGATACTTGGGTTGCAACAAATGTGAGCCACGCAATCGGAAGTCAAACCTTGGACATGATGATTGGATGAATGCAACCTGCCATTGTGCGCGCGAATTTATGTGCTTGTGCCTGGGCGATTCCGGAGCATTCCGATACCTGTTCGGGACGAGTGTGAGTAGTACGGAACTTGCAACAACGGCTGTAAGTTGGAACTTGAATCCATGGAGAAAGGCTTGAATGAAGCAGTGCTTGTTGTCGTGAATGCATATCGCACAACCCTAGCCGGAAAGTCGTTTGTGCCCTGCTTGAGACTTTTCTGGCTGATCCAGGTGGCACAATGAGGCTCTTGAATTCAATGTTTGCGCAAGACCTTGATGGTCTACATGGGTATGGGTCAAAATTAAACCACCAGGAATTGGACCGCAGGTTTCAGTCGTTGTTTCAAAATTTACCAGGCTGCCATTTTGGGTTGACCCAGAGCATGGATCCAAGGATTGCACCCCCATCCTCTACCTCGAGTTCATGGCCGCGCATCCCAATGTCACGACGGATGCGAACACCATGACCTTTACGTGTCCGGAGGCGCCTGGTGCGAAGAAGTTAGGTCCTGGCCCCTTTTTTTGGCTTGAGAACGGCCGTACTTCCTTCGATTCCAAGCATGAAGATGGACATAGAGCGCAACCGCCCGTTAGGTTTATATGTTTTAGCTGTTTTTTCCCCCTTTTTCCCCCGACGACTAGTGTTTTTGTTTCTTCCTTTTTTTCCGGCAACTTTTGGGGTTCCCTGTCAGTGTAGTTGTTCACATCCAAGCAGTTGAGACGAGTTCGTAAACTCACTTTGCCCGATTGCGCTGCTAAGTATGCACGCAACCCTTTCCCTGGACAGTGCCCTTTCTGGGGTTGGTGGGGGTCATCAACTTGAAGCAGGAAGAACGATGATAGTTCAACAACCTCAGCATGCAGAGATGTGTTGCGCAGATGACATTTTGGTCCGAACTTGTGAGCTTAATTATCCAGGTGAGATGGGCCGCTTGGGTGATATTTTTTTGTTTGGCGACACGGAACATATCGATAGCTGCATTGTTCCAGTGTCCACTGATGTTCAAAGACGATCCACGCTGTGTCCTTGGCAATCACCGCGCCAGGCGAACAAAATGGAAAACAAACGGGAATATATTTGTATATATAAAAAGACAGAGCCCACGAACCCGAATGCGCATCACTTTTCGCAAGCCCCAGGAAATAAATAGAGAGACCGTTTTTCGGCATAAGCCAATGGAGCTCGCAATCAAGTCAACTGCGCAAATCAAGTCAACTGCACACATTCAGCTTGGAGCTCGAAACCTGTACTTCGCGTACTATACTTGCACTTCAAAGTTGCATGTTCCAGCCGGAGCTGGAAGCTTGTACTTCGCGTACTACGTTTGTACTACAAAGTTGTGATTTTCCAGCTAGTGCTGGAAACCGGCGCTTCGCGCACTAGACTTGTACTTCAAAGTTGCGATTGCGTACTACACTTGTGCTACAAAGTTGCGATTTTCGAGCGCGCTAGACTTGTGCTACAAAGTTGCGATTTTCCATCTAGAGCTGGAAGCCGGTACTTCGCCAGCCAGACTTGTACTACAAAGTTGCGAGTGTCCAGCTAGAGCTGGACGTCTGTACTTCGCGTACTAGACTTGTGCTACAAAGTCGCGATTTTCCAGCTAGAGCTGGAAACCGGTACTTCGCCAGCCAGACTTGTACTACAAAGTTGCGATTTCCCAGCGCGCGCTAGACTTCTGAGCGACGCTTCTGATCAACACTTTTGATTGACACTGAGCGACACTTTTGAGCGACGCTTCTGATCAACACTTTTGATTGACACTGAGCGACACTTTTGAGCGACACTTCTGGTCAACACTTTTGATTGACACTGAGCGACACTTTTGAGCGACACTTCTGACCAACACTTCTGAGCAACACTTCTGACCAACACTTCTGATCCACACTGCTCATCGATACTTCTGAGCGGCACTTCTCAGCAACACTTCTGATCCACACTTGTGATCGACACTTCTGTGCGGCATATCTGTCAAACGCTTCTGATCGACACTTCGGAGTAACACTTCTGAGCGATTCTGACCAACACTTCTGATGATCCACACTTCGGATCGACACTTCTTATCCACACTTCTGAACGACAATTCTGAGCAACACTTCTGATCAACACTTCTGATCCACCTCCTCATCGACACTTCTGAGCGACAATTCTGAGCAACACTGCTGAATGACACTTCTCAGCGACAGTTCTGAGCAACACTTCTGATCGATGCTTCTGATCAGCACTTCCGAGCAACACTTCTGCGCAAACGCACACACGCACATGTATGCGACGCCCGCCGTTGAGCCACACTTCTGAGAGACACCTCTGAAGAACACGTCCGGGCAACACTGAGCGGCACTCGTGAGCGATACTTCCGACAACACCTTTGAGCGACACGTCTGAGCCACATTTCCACACGCACACACAGCAGCAACACTGCTGAGCGGCAGGCGCTCCTGTGCGACAATTCGAGCGACATTCCTACACACACATATCTCAGCGACACGCACTTCTGAGCGACACTTCTGAGCAACGCCTCTGAGCAACGAGCGCCTGAGCAAGACTTTTTGATCACACTTCTGATCCACACTTCTGAGCGACACTTCCGAGCAACACTTCCGCCTGGAGATTCATTTTCCATGAATTTCCTGGTAGTTCTCGGCTTTGACTTGCTTTTCGTAAATCTCGATGTTTTTTCGTGAAGTCGCCTAAAACTACTAAAGCTCCTATATTTTTGTGAGATTTCAGAATTGGTACGGTTTCACGTCTTCCCCGCCCAGAATTACCCGCAAAACGCCCGCAAAAAGCCCGCAAACGCCCGCAAAACCCCGCAAACGCCCGCAAATCAGAAAAAGACGCTTTTTGGGCTCGGGGGTCGCGCAAAACTCCTAGAAACCACTTAGAACGCCCAACATGCCCAAAACTACCAGAAAACTAAAACGCCTAGGAAAAGGCCGGAGAATGAATCTCCAGGCGATTAAAACTTCTGAGCGATACTTCCGAGCAACACTTCTGATCGACACTTCTGAGCAACACTTCTGAGCAACACTCACTTTTGAGCAACGCTTCGGAACCACACTTCTGATTGACACTTCTGAGCAACACGTCTGATCCACACTTCTGATCGACAGTTCTGAGCAACACTTTTGAGCAACACCACTTCTGAGCAACACTTGTGATCGACACTTCTGATCGACACTTCTGGTAGACACTTCTGAGCAAAAACTTCTGATCGACACTTCTGCGTAACACTTCTGATCGACGCTTCTGATCGAGACTTCTGAGCAACACTTCTGAGCGACGCTTCTGATCGACGCTTCTGCTGACGGATGCTTCTGAGGGACACTTCTGAGCGACACTTCTGGTTGACACTTCTGAGCGACACTTCAGAGAAAGGTCGCTTGACGCGTTTTTTGTCTCAAAATGTGCACCGCGCCACAGCGAGAGCGATTCGACCCGCCCAAAGTGCGGAGACGCTTCACTTCGCATTTTCAAAATGTGCGCCACGCCACAGCGAGAGCGATTCGACCCACCCCAAGCGCGCAGAGGGTTCAAAAAGTGCACCGCGCTGCATTTTCAAAAAGTGCACCGCGCCACAGCGAGAGCGATTCGACCCCCAAAGTCTTACTTCCTGAGTTCATGAACTTTAAACTTTTTGGGAAGCCCATTTTAGTGGTAAATATGAAGTTTAGACTTTTCTTGGCCATCCACTCAGCCAGTGAGAAGTGCGCAGAGGGTTCACTTTGTATTCTCAAAATGTGCACCGCGCCCCTGCGAGAGCGACGCGACCCACCCAAAGTGCGCAGAGGGTTCACTTTGCATTTTCAAGATACGCACCGCGCCATAGCGGGAGCGATTCGACCCACCCAAAGTGCGCAGAGGGTTCACTTTGCATTCACTTGGCATTTGCAAAATGTGCACCGCGCCACAGCGAGAGCGATTGGACCCACCCAAAGTGCGCAGAGGGTTCGCTTTGCATTTTCAAAAAGTGCACCGCGACACAGCGAGCGGGCGCGCCTGCCACAACATCAGCGCGCAAGCTCGAAAGTACTGCGCCTGCCACGAAATCTGCATGAAAAGCTCTAAAGTGCTGCACCTGCCACGAAATCTGCACGAAAAGCTCTAAAGTGCTGCGCCTGTCAAGAAAAATCTCGTTACGGCGACATGCACAACGCTCAAAAAGCTGCGCCTACCACGAAATCAGACTCTGACACTCTCGCACTGCGCGCGGAAAACTAGCGCGGGACTGTAGCGCCAGAATGATTTCGACCGATTTCTTGCAAATCTGCAGTCGTGAAAACTGTTTGATCCTGAAAACACTTCCAGAGAGTCAACGCTCGTGACGTGACGATGTTTGCAGCCCGACGAGGCTTGCAGCGAAGTGTGACTACTTGTTGCATGCGCGTGCAGAATCCAACAGTGCAGATTTCAGGGTCTGTTGCCCATGAATTGGACCAGACATACAATGGAACTTGCAAGATGGACTGGCACCTCAATTCAATACGTGTGCCAAGCTGTCTTATCCTGAAAAGCGTTTTGCTGGTCAACATGCCCTTGCGCATTGCAAAAAGCGTGTGTTGATCGAGCAGTGGAATGCATTTCTGCACGCGACTTGGTTTTGCCGACGTCAAGCAGCTGGCTGGCTGAAACTGGCTGAAATATTTCTGCTCTCTGCCTGCCCACAAAGCCAGAAGAGGCGTCAGATGAGTCACGGTCTCAGAACCGATTTGGGTAGATGAAGGTTAGGGGATAATCCCAAACATTAATGGTTGCAGCCGCCTTTTATTTCTTGAAGCATGGTTCTGGGCAGACCATTTCAGTGCTTGGTTTTTATTACGACTCAGATGACTGTGTTCTGCCAGGAGGGATGTGGGTTGAGCGCCTCCTGCTCCACAGAAGCTCCGTCGATCATGTGCACGTGGGGTGGCTTGGCAAAATTCGACTCCGCGGGGTGTCGGTTTTCTCACTTGCTTGTCCTGCTTGTTTTGCTGGGAGTTGAGGTACCCCTTTATTTGAATTTCTCATGGAAACCAGGACTAGGTCCCCCAGTAGTGCCTTTTTTTTAAACTGTTTTTTGGGGGAGGGTTCCCTACTAAAATAAACTACAGAAAGAAAGGGTGCCCTTGTTCTAACCTCTGAACTGGAGGACCTAGAGGAAAGCCGAGATCCATTGATCCATTTCGGGGTGTCCAACCTTAATGATGACACCCTTTTGGGTGGCTTGTCTCATGTTAGCGCCGCCAACTTTTTCCGACACCCAAACCATCAACCAGCCGCATCGATGCGGGGAAACAAAACGCTTGGCCTTTGAACTCAGATCAGATTGACCCTTGTTGGGCAGTTGTCAGAACCAGATCCCAACGGAAACAGCAGATCCCAAACATGGCGGCTTAAGTGTGAGAAGAGACAAGCTCGCAAGCTGATGTGAACCTGGACTAGAAGCTGCCCACAAGCTCATGTTTGCATGAATGCCCCACTCCCCAGGAAGGAGCCGCTCGCAAGATGATGTGAACCTCAACCAGCGACCGCCCGCGAGTGAACACCCTAAACAAAGCGGCGACCCCCTCAAAAAGGAATCCTTCACTACGAGGGGGTCGATCTCGATTTTCCACAACAGGTGGCAGAAAGACCTCCCTGACCAAAGGTTCACATGATCATTGCTACAAGGGCATCCCACTCGCCCGTTTCTCTTTGATTATGACGATGAATCCAGAAGTGTTTGATCACTTGGGCAATCGTAGTCAACAAATGTAAAGTAGAGTGCTTTGCAGTACCAGCGAAAGTTGGAATGGATTACCACAACAACGCGACTATTTGTAGATATATGCTGTTTTAAAGACCAGTTCTGCGAGATTCCGTGTTTGTTCTTGTGGGTCTCAGGATGGGTGGCTGGTCGGCCCTTTAGCACGGAAGATGGCCCAGTGCTCGCACCATCAGTGCAGAGCTCCAGCTGCCGCTGGCCTGCATAAGTCTTACGGCTAGTTGGTAACGTATGTTTGGACTTCAACTTGTTTGGGAAAATACAACTTTGTTGCAGGGGGGGCAACAGCAACCAAGGGCAGTTGGGTTGAGCATAGATGGCAGTGGTCTGAGTGCAGTACCCATCATTTACCATGACTACAATTGTTTGAAACCGGTTTTGGCCGAATGCCTTTCTCTCGCCATTGGCTGAAGATCGAGGGCCGGAGGACAAGGTGCTTTTTTGGGTCAGTTGTTGGGATGACAGCATGGAGATGAGGCTCTGGTCAGCCGAGGTTTCAATGTTGGCTTCAAGGAACGAAATAAGACCCAGAACCACCCGGGTGGAACATGGCTCAGGTTCTGTGATCCCATTCAAGCGGCTCTTTGGGTTCATAAATTTGATAAAGAAGTGGGACTGGTTGTTGTCCACAATGCCCAGGGATCCTTGTGGAATAGACGAACCAGCCCTGGGTTTGTTAAGGGAGGGATCGATGTTTCGGTGTGAACGTGAGACCGGCGGAAAGGGTGTTCGACTCAGGGAAAACTGATTGCCAAGCCTGCTTTGAAACACTGCTTTGGCTTGTTGTGATCCTGCCTGTTGGTTCAATTGTTGCCCAGGGCCCGCCAAATACTTGTATCTTTGGACGGGGTCCACGGCTCCATATCCTTGTTCAACTCCAACCCCCCTTCGGGGTTCCAAATTGAAAGTTCAACCAAGAGGCGTCAACGCAGAATGCCGTCAAGCCTGCATAAGGGATTGGTTTTGGCCAAATCAACTGTTTCTTTAGCATTGAGCAAATCAAGTGTTCTCAAGCTTGGGGTCAGTCTGTGAGACTTGATGACTGTTATACCTGACCCGAAACTGGGGAATCTTGGTCAACCTAGAGAGTGTCAGTTCTATGTTAATAATGTCAACAAACAGGCAGTTTACTAACGCACGTGTATATTCTTACATCATATGAAGACAAAAGTCAATCAGCGCGAGGCGCATGTTTGCAGTTTCCACGGCTTTCTGCGCTTGCCTCAGCTCATGGAAATAGGTGGAACCCGTGCTCAAGCTCAGGTTGGGCCCAGAAGTCTGAGCTGAACACTTCGCTTGACGCAGGTCAGTGTTTTGGCACGTCGCAAACGAGGGGACCCCAGGAGAACCGCCCGGTACCTGAAAAATGCCGCCTTTTTTTGGTGTTCCAGAAACGAACCAGTTTGTGCAAATGTCCTTTTGTTTTGGGCTTTCCTTTTGGTTCTGCCTTAAAGCGACCAAATGGGGCCAAAACTCGGATTTGGCCGGAATGAAGCATTCTTTTGGGGGTCCTACTGTTTGGCGAACAACCATGTGAGTCTTTGCTGGAACCATGCTGTCTTTTCCCTGCGCCTAGGTTTGGTTTCTTGAACAACATAAAAACAGCACCACCGTTGCAACCAAGCAGCACCAATATGGAGTGTACTTGCGCGCCCATCGACCTTTTTGTAGAACTTAGAGTTCACCTCTCTGCGAAGCAGCGCTGCTTCTGCTTGTGGCTGCGTTTGCCTCTGTTTTGTTTGTGCGTGGCGACGTGTTTGCGGTAGCTTCATTCTTGCAGCAGAAATCAGAGTGGAGTACTTCTTATTCTTATTCTTCTTCTTCTTCTTCTTCTTCTTCTTCTTCTTTTTTTTGGGGGTGTTCATGTATCGCGCTTCGATTTGGTGGCTTTGCTTGCCCACGTGCTTGATCGTGCGTCGGCTTTTTGGGTCGGTGGAGCCAAGCTGTTTGTCTCTGCATGTGTCCGAAGTTGCTTCACTGGACAGGGCTCCTTAAACGATACATTTTGCAACCATTTGAATCATGTTGTTTTTTCCACCAAAACAAAGGGAAACCACCATTTACAAGTTGCAATGTTCAGGTGTATAATGTAAGGATCCCTGCTGGAATTAAACGCCGCAGGTCCCAAACTGAGAGGTCCATGCTCTTGGACGGCCCAATGCTTGCCGGAGAAGATGCATGAGCATCTTTCGCGAAATGAAGCTCTACCTTTTCAATGGATTGAACAAGTTGTTGTAAGGCAAACCCCCAAAGGGTCCTGTAGGTTCCATTTGGGAACTTGCCTAATTGACCCCCTTCACACTCTCTTATACTCATATTGGTATGTCTTTTACTGGAAAACCAGGAGAAAAGAAAGCAACATCTCCATGTTCGGGGGTTCCAATCCCTTTGAATGCCTGGCACCCGCCAGCTGAGCCGCGGAATGCCGCGGACGCGTCGGAACCGCGTCGGCTCCCCGCGTCGGCCGCGTCGGAAGGCCGGGGGGCCTGGTGGCGTCAGAACGGCCTGGCGGAGCACGGCTCGGTGGCCGCCTTCAGCCGGGCCTCGCTGGAGCTCATGGCGGCCCTTCGGCCCAAGCGAAGCCGCGCAGCGAAGCGAAGCCGTGCCGTTGGCGCCCGCCCGTTTGGGACTCTCGTTGTCCCTTTTTGGGGAGGCGACCGGTATCTACTTAAGTTGTTTTTGGGTGAGGGAGGTCTTTTTGGATTTTGTGGTTTAAGAGGGAGGTCTCTCTTTTTCGAAGGGGGAGGTCTCAATTTTTGGAGGGTATCCATTTTTGGACCCTACGCGTTCGTTGGATTGGTTGACAAATAGATGGGTTCCACTGGTTTATATAGGTTTTGGGCCCATTTACCAGGGAAACCCATCTGGTTTCCCAAAGGAGACCTATGTCTTGGCCGGTGTCCTTTTTTGGGAGGCTGCCTGTTGTATTGTTTGTGGTCTTAAAGGGAAGCCAAGAGGAAAGCAAACAAAAATAGACTATTTGTCTTTGGGCTTGCCCCAAGCCTGCAAAAACCTGGGCTGTTTTTTTTCCTTTTTTTTTTTTTTTTTTTTTTCGCAATCCTTCACGAGAAAAGAGGCCCTCTTGGTGCCAATGCTAATTAAAACCGAGCAAAAGAGCAAAAGGTGCCGAGGTGTTTTTTTTCCTCTGGGACTTCACAGGTCTGGGAATGAACTGAGAAACAACGCAAATCGGAAGGCAAGACCCGTCCCACTTGCCGAAGCCGATGTGGAACAGAGGGTGAGATTTCCTCATTCCCTGCATCTCTCGCACCAGCAAGGACAGGGTGAGCATGAAGCCACGAGCATTGACTTGGGGGAAGCCACGGAGCGTGAGTTGGAACAGAGTGCTTTTCGATTGTTTAGCCATGCTACCAACCAACCAGAAGCCTCTCCAGTGATAGAGAAGTAGATAGAAGGCAGTCAACTCGAAGTTGGGAAGTTCTTTGGAGCAAAAAGGGACGACTCGGGGACAGCTTACCCAGTCCAAGCCTTCCCTCTTTCTTTTTTTTTGTTTGGACGGCTTTGGTTGTTCACCATTCCCAATTGGAAGCAAAGGTCTCGTTCTTGCCATGGTGCCCTTTGCTTTTGTTCAGCTGGCCGGCCAGAGTTGGCCCCTGAATCTGTTTCTCACCAACGCTTCTATTCCTTCCCAAGCTGCGAAAGACACTTCATTTCATCCCAAGCCCCACCATCTGACCGCCCTCTTCATCCACAGCAGACACCTCTACACAGTCGAAAGAACCTGACTGCTATTGGGTAACGGATCTTTAGACTTTAACTCTTTGGTTGACATCAAGTTGTGTTTTCCACCAAACCCCCAAAGAAGTGGTCAACTTTTTGCAGGGGGGTCGTTGCAACCAAGAGAAGTGGCTCTGTGGCTTCCCCTAGGCCAATGCTCGTTCCCCATGGCTTCTCCTTGGTGCGAGGGCAGGGAATGAGAAATGGAATGAACCCAAGATGAACCATCCAACTGGTGGTGTCCTTTGTAAGGGAAAATCCCAAAACGGTTCATTCCCACATTCCCTGAGCACCCACAAGCAAAATTTTGCCAGCTGTCTTTGGCTCCCTTGGCTGTTGGAATGAGCCGCAAAAAAAAAGCAACAGGCTGCCTTGCGAGCAACAGCACTCGGAGCAACTGGATCCGAGTCTGGATTGCCATCAAAACCACGAACAAAGGGGCGGCCTCAAAAAGACACACTCTAAAATATGTTGTTTGGTCTCCCTAGGTTTTTGTAGGACACCAAAAGCAAGACCGAAAACAAGATTCGGGTCCCCGAAAAACATTCACAGACCATGAAGCCATGGCCAGAGTCGTGGAAACTCCCCGTCGTGAGCGGTTCGAAGCGGGGGGGGGCGGTTCGAGGTGGGCGCTCCGGCGGTGCTGGTGGAGGGCGCCCACCGCGCGGCCTTGGACGAGATCCGCCACGCCGAGGTCTCCTTCGGCCTGGCTCAGGGCTTCGGCGAGGAGGGATCGACGGCTTGAGCTGTGGGCGAGTCCGGCTCCGGCGGAAGTCTTCGGTGGGTTTTGGTTGGGTTCAACCTAGATTCTTCGGTGTTTGGGGTTCCCCGGCAAAACAAAGTCACGCGAGAAAGGACTGCCTTCAAGCGAGTGGCTTGAACAAAACCCGGGATATGTTTGGCTGAATGTGTGATCTATCAGCGGAGACAAAGCGTGAGCTAGGCTTTTGAACGAGACTCGCCGTTTGGCCCCGCATTTCCCGAAAGCTGCAAGTTCAACGTACATTTATCGGGACGAGGCATAGGCCGGCTTTGGATGTCCATTGGCCGAAACTCGTCTTTTGATCAGTCAGCAGGGCCGACTGCACGTTTCGCTTTCTTTCCCGATCCAACTCGCATGGTTGGGTTTAGGGCACTTGCTTCAAGTCCGCCACAATTCGGGCGTCCGTTCAACCAAAATACCCAAAACACCTGGCCAGACTTGGCCCCAGTCGGTCCTTGGGCACCTGTTTCATTTCAAAGTGAGACAGACCCAGATGGCTTGCTCAAAGGGAAACCAACGAAGCCAACTCAGAAACAGCTCCCAAAGAAAAAGGGTGTGCCCGAAAAGAGGGTGCCGCAACTGGCTTTCCTCAAGATTTCCGCAGGGGGTCCCCACTCGGGTTCTGTCCTATAAACAGTGACACACTTTGCAGTCGACCAATCCTCTTTTGTTGCGCGTACCTCGGGGGCAAGGAGTAGTTTGGCAGAAATAAGTGTTACCAATCCACCTTGCTCGCGCTGTGGCATATCTGATGAGTCAAAATCAGACCCCTTCCCCCCACAAAAATAACAAGAACGCGGTGTTGTTTTTACGTTCCCTAAAGGACCAACACCAAAACCGACAACCTCCTAACTTGGTGGCTCCCAGCCATCCCCGCAGCTTTCTGGTTTTTTACTGTTTTTGTTGTTGGATTTCCATTTCACCCGCAAAAAAGCCGACCACCATATTTCTTCTTAGATTCCCCCCCAGTTAAAAAGTTCGTTCAACTTTTCAGCTGGTGGTGTGATTTCCATTTGACCCACCAAAAAGCGACCACCAGATCCCCCCGTGGCTCCCCCCGGTTAGCTAAAAAGCTCGTCCAACTTTTATCTCAGCGCAGGCCCAAGCGGCTCCTGGGCGGCTGCCGCTGAAGGAGCTCCAGGTGACTTCCGAGCTCTCGGAGCTGGCAAAGCGGACCTTCCAGGACGATGGGAACCCGTCAGCCATGTGGGTGTGTCGTTTTATGGGGCACCCCCCAAAAAGAGGAAAGCAGGGGGTGTTTTTTTCTTTCAGGTTTTTGAAGTGGTGATCTGTTGTTTTGGTTTCCCTTTAAGACAAGAAGGGAACCCACCCTTTTTGAGAGTTCGCTATAGCAAGACAAACACACATCGTTCCTGTTTAGGGCCATTTGATTTTTGTGCAAATAGGCAGACTATGCCAGCCTTGCCAGAGCGTTCCCTGGATGTCCATCGGTTTGTTGAGGCTTGGACATTGGAGCGGGCCAGCGTATTTGGCGGTTCCGAAGCTGTCTGGTTCCTTAGGTATAGGTGTTTAGGTTTCTCTTGGGTTTAGGAGGGTCCATTTAACCCACGAAACAAACACACATCGACTGGTAGGGGATCTGAGGGCAGCCCAGATCAATGATGTAACTTCGAAGTTGCTTTTCATATTACATGTTGAATCCCATCAAGTTTCAACCGAAGCATTCCGCAGTAAAAGAACGAAAACGTGGCACTTGCGCAGCTTGATTCAGCAGGCATTTGTATCAAGTCAAGATGTGTGTTTGAGTTGCTTGCCAGTGCAAACTTACAATGGTGATGCACAGGGGTCCCAAGACTGTGCCCGCAGGAATTGATTTCAGCTTGGCAAGGTGTTGCTCTCGTGGTTGGCTGCACTACACTCCTCACAAATCGTGGCTTTGTCAAACGGGAACATTTGACAAGGCGAAAAAGTGGGCCAAAACCTGAATGCTCCCGGGGGGAGGAGCAAATATGGTCCCCCCACATATATATATATATGTATATGTATACATATGCATCTAACATGGGAATTATTTCCCTCTTTGTTTGTCACGAACTTGTCCCTTAGTTTCCCTAAGTTCTGTCATGCGTTTCGCAGCTTTTCTAGTTCCCGAACCAATGTAATTGGGGGCCATCCAAAATAGCTGTTTTCTGCCCTTCGGGCTGGCGGAACATCCAATTGGCAGAAGTTCCTTTCATCCAGCGGAATGATTTTGGCGTTCCCAGCGAATTCGCAGGAGGGCTGTGTGGCAGAGATGGTGTCTCTGGCCAAGGCTGGTTTCGGCTTCGCATTTCGCTGGAGTTGAGTGGACGCCTAATTCCGTGGGATGAACATGGGATCTAACGGGGATGTCTTGCACCGTGCCGCTTGTCGTCTTCAGAAATTTGAACGCATGGTCAAGTTCTGTTGAAGAATATGCTTCAATTTCTCTGTGGAATCTATCACTACCGGAAATAGGTCCCCAGGTTCAGTATTTTCCAGGGAACGAACACACTTAAATGGAGATTCAGAAAATCACCGCCGATTTCATTCTTTGAGGCCTTTTGGCAAGAGCTTCCAGACCATTTCATGGGGTCCAAGGGTAACTATGACAATCCCCATGTGGCTATGGGATCGGCAAGAATGCGTACCCAAAATGAAACCCTGGTAAAGGGAAAGACTGAAAGACTAAAACCTGCGGTCCCCTGGTGTGTTTTGACCCATACCCATGTCCTGCATTTTTGCGGCCAGTCAGAGTCGGCTGGACCTCCGGACCGACAGGTCAAGCAGCAGCTGCGGGGGGAGCTACTGCCCCAAGAGGAGGCTTCTCGTTGGGTGCCACCGCCGGCGGGTGTTTTGATTCTTGTGGCCAGGGCATGGGGTATCAGGGTTCCGTGTTTTTTGGTCGTACCCCAAGGTAGACTTAAACGCAAAAGGTGTCCCCTTTGTGCTTTTGGGGGAAATGAACCACCCCTCCGCTTTGGGGTTGTCAAAAGATGGAACCCTGTGGGGTATTGCTTACGGGTCCGTCATCCGGCAGCTCATGAGAAGCAGTTTGGGTTCCTTCTTTGAAGTACATTAATTGGTTCAGCAATATTCCGATGAGCCCAAGGACAGAGAGCCCGACGGGAATCACGTTCGGAGCGAAGAATCTAACGCATACTGTGGATGGACAAAATCCGACTCGCACCACCTAAGAATCCCTGGAATGATGATTCCCCTGTAAATGCCAACAAACAATAGTTTCCCTTGGAGTCAAAGCGGTGCGAACGGATTTCGTCCATCCACAGTGTTACCACGGGAGATGGACATAAAGGCGATAAAGGAATCTACCGGTTGCCGCAAAGAGGTCGCCACAGATCATGCTCGACCGTACGTGACTGCTTGGCGCATTCAGCTGAACATGTGTTGAAAGGCGCCTCAGTTGCAGCGGCTCAGTGGCCACTGGAGTTGTTTTTTTCCTGCTTGCCTGGCCAATGTTGCATCTAAGTCGAACCCATCCTAAACAAAAACAGAACATAAGTGGAAAGACAACTGCATGTGTTGCCAGCCACAATTATGTTGTTGCATGACTTCTAGCAATATGTGCGATCGCCGACGAGCTGCGTCAGTCACTAGCGCCTGCTCGCAAATGGAGTTTGTTGAACGCGCTTGCGTGTGCTCCTACGCTTCAAAGAGACGGACATGCACTTCTATGTTTGTATCGCAGGGGCGCGGCGAGTACGCCGCCCCTTCCACGCCTTCCCTTTCAGAGGCTCCCGACCCCGAACCACCTCGGTGTCTAATGGAGGGCTTGGGTCTTCCATTGAAAGCCCCAGCCTCTGGGCAGTGAAGTAAACCCAAGGGTGCCCTGAAGCCTTGTTGCGCACGATGCCAGGCAGCGCTGCAGCGCATCTTTGAGGATGAGGCAAGATTGGGGCGATTGGGGATTCAGGGGGTCTCAAATTATTTTCTACATGGTTGAATTGGTTGGGTGATTGGTGGGTTGGTTGATGTTGGTTGGGTGATTTGGTGGGTTGGTTGATTGCGGGATCAGTTAGTAGATCACTGGTTGGTTATTGGTCAATTGTTGAGTGTTGGTCTTCGTCCCAACAGTTGGCTGAGTTTGTGTCACTGTGATCGCTCGATCCCTCCAAGTCTTAGAGGAGATGCTGTTTCAACTGTGATTGGTTTGGTAGAGCCCTGCTTTCATGGAGAGGTGAGCCATTGCAAGCCATCGAAGCCCGTTTTCTGTGACCCATCCATTGGAAGACTCTGCCCGAACCATGGGCTCTCAAGGCTTGAAGCTCTGCGCCTCATTTGGTTCCCGCGCAGTTTGGCTCGGTGAGCCAGGGACTCCTTCGTTGATGCGATGGGACCGAAAGGGGTCCTTCTGCCTATTGAGACGGGCTTCGGTCCCCGGGCCAACGTCAGGTCCGTTGCAACCATTTCCGAACTTGAAATGGTGACGCGCCTGCCCCAAGTCGTGACGCGAATTGTGATTGAGTCGAAGAAAACCAACGAGCGGATCAAAGCTGCTTCGGGCTGGACAGCAAATTGGATGCCCAGAGCTTGGCTCCAAGAACAGGTCGCCTTTGCTGACTTTTCTGAATCGTTCTCGGTCCAAAAAAAATGGGTTCCTCCGTTTCACTTTTGGAGGGTTCCAAAAGTGGCGATCGTTTCATTAAAAGCCACAAGCAGTGAAACTGGGGAAATCCAGCTGGACTCCAGACCCTGCCGGTTGGCCAGGCGCGGCATGCTGCTTTCGCCTGGCGAACTGTGGCGTGGGCCTTGAGCCAGGAGCGATTGAACGGGGTTCGGAGGCAAGGCGACCGGGTTTGTTGCCGCTCAGAGGGGTTCTGCACCGGAAGGGATTCCCTTAAAGGAAACAATGGCATCAACCGCGGCGTTCCCCTTTTCATTTTGACATGGTCGTCTTCCTGACAAGCATAGGTTAAACCGGGCCGGAGGTGTTCGCTTTGACGGCCGGGTGGTTTCGAGAAGACAAGCACGCAGGAAAGGCAAACAACTGCTGAACACGTTTCAGAGGATTGATCCAAGGTCGCATTTTTATAGATTTCTGGTGTCGAGTCTGCTTTCCAGCTACTGACAACATGATTCTGAGTCCACTTTGCGGAGGACTTCTTCGGGGGCCGACCCACGTCCATGCGTGAGCACGCACGCACGCACACACGCATACACACGTGTACCTTCAAGCTGAACTCTATAGATGTTCTTCTCTTGGCTTCTGAGGTATTGTTGCTGCCTTTCTCAAGTTGGAGACTCGAATTACCATGCACCTTCCTTTTTTTTCCGGGGCATCCACATTGTCTTTCGAACCAGCTGCGTGAGGACATGGCTGGCGTGCAGCCAGTCTTGCAGCAAGAGTTGGAGAAGCTCCGGCCGTCGGAGCGAGCTCCGGAGGCGCGGGCGTAGGCTCATGGGGGTTGATCAATATTCCCTCGAGGCCCCCAAATGACCACGGGACACTTTACTAATTTAGTGAGATACATTAGCGGTTTTCACCATGGGACACTTTACTCATTCAGTGGGATACATTAGTGGTTTTCACCATGGGACACTTTCTCATTTTAGTGGGATGCATCATTTGTTGTAGTGGTTTTCCAACCAATGGTCATCCCATGTTTACGGGACCTTTTGATCAACCTCCACATTGGGTCTTGCTGGCGTTTGTGTTAAAAGGCGGGTTCCCCCTTGACTGGGCGTGTGCGTGCGCACACAATGCACTACAGGTACTGGGTCGAGATGAGTCGAGTGGGATAAATGTTGGTTTGGAAACGATGACCATGCATTCTATATGCTAGAACAGCATGTACGTACTCATATTCCGACAGAGCCAGTCGGGCGAAGATTTTCCAGAAGACAAGACTACAGCTGAAAGGTCATATTGGCTTTCTATTTCTACAGCCCACTGCTCAAACGAATTTACCGGCCCTGTTGATGTTCCTGCCTCTCATTGTGGTCCTTTCCGGTTGCAACCAAAGTGTTCAAACACGGCCCTTTGGAGGGACAGGCGTTCAAGTGTCAGCTACCCAGTTGAGAGGTAAAGAGTGGTGCAGGAAATCAAGGCAGTCTAAAGGCCGCAGTGACTAGCTCCGAATCGTGTCCTCTGGATCATAGTTCAATGATTCGACCTTGTCCGTTGCTTGCCATGGTTTGATGTCAGTCGCTCACTCCCTGAGTTCGTGGACTTCAGTCACTTTTGATCTTCGTGGCAAACAAAAAGTTTGGCCAGTCCACTCAGGAAGTGAGGTCGTCTTTTATCAAGGCACCGGTGAGCTGTGGGACCCCTCCATGGGACTCATCGATCAACGGGCGCCGATTCCACGCACACGAGCTAGCACCATTGTCAACATGTTTCGGGCTGAAAAGGAGTTCAAGCATCGAAGCCTTGGGCTCTGCCTGTAATTTTATAGATGCGTTGCGATTGGATCAAAAGGCCCCGGCGGCCTTGTGGTGTGTTTCTGGACACCCCAGCCCGCGCGAGGACATTCACCAGCAGGCACGGGTGGGCAGGCTTTCGCTGGGAAACTGCGCCAAGAACAATGGGTGCATCGATTTCGGGAAGTCGGGGTGGGGAAGGCGATGGTGACAGTCAGACCCTCGAAGTTGCGAATTGGAAGCGTAGGCTTTAAATAGATAAGGGCTGAAAGGGCGTAGGCTTTTAATGGATAAGGGCTTTAAGTGGAAGCGTAGGCTCAAAGGGCGGAGTTTACCCCTACTTCGTGATTAAGGATGTTGAAGGCTTCAAAACTTGTGAAAGACAGTTTTGCGAGCGTCCACAGCGCAAGCTGTTCGTACCGCATACCGACACCCTTTGGCCGCACGCACACGAAAAGGGCACAGGACGTCAGAGCGTCCGTTTCAGGGAACGGCAACAGTGTGGCCTACCCCTGACTGGAGGCGTGGGCTATCCGGCCCCAAGTCAGAAAGTAAGAAACTAGATGAAGATTGAAGCTCTGTAATTTTACGTCGTGAGCTTCTGTTGTTTTTGGCCCATGGAACCCATACTGTGGACGGAGGAAATCCGATTCGCAGCACCTAAGAACCCCAGGTTTCTGATGGTTCCCCAGCGAAAGTACCAACAAGCGCTGTGGTTTCCACCATGGTGTCATTTCGCGGTGCGAAGGGAGTTCGTCCAAAAACAGTTGCACCACCTAAAGAAAGCCTGGAATCCCCCGTAAGTTCCAACAAACACCAGGATCCCAACAATTTCATGCGCGAAGGGATTTCGTCCATGAACAGTAGAGGTGTCAACGCGGTGAAGGGAACCAACCTGGAGCATGGTTCTCGGGGTTGATTCCCCCATTCTTTTCAACCATCGTTCCAAAAACCGGATCCATGTTCCCTGGGTTTTAGGAGGTTTTCTAGAAAGAAGGATCCTGATTAATTTAGGGCCTTCAAACAACCCAATTTTGAGACCCCCGATTCAACCCGGAGAGGTCGGGTCTTCCGTTGAAAGCGTTTTCGGAGCCTCTGGGAAAGATTCGGATCCCTGGAAAGAATGGGAAAGGTACCCCCGGAGTACTCCAGTAAGAAACTGGGAAAGGTACCCTAGAAATGGAAATGGAAGGTACTCCTGGAGTTTTGCTTTCTTTTGGCAGTGGCCTCGAGTCCTTGTCTCAGCTACTAGAATGGTAACCCTATGGTGCCAAACCACTCGACCCGTTAGGTGCGAGGCTTCGTAGCTCCCTGGCTGCGCGCCATGCTGGCACAGGGCGGCGGCCTGGACTGGCGGCCGCCGGTGATCCGCTGGGAGGACGGGAGCGGGGTCACCGGACCGAACAACAGATGCGTCCATTGTGCTGAAATGAATATGTGTTGATTTTCCTTGCTATTTTTGAAGAGAATCTATCACTACCGTATTTGTCCTTGTTGGTTTTAAAGGGAATCGATTGCACTACTGGAAAGTACTGAAAGCTTAATAATGTAAGTTGGACCTGTACTGGACCTTAAATAAATATTGTTCAAATTATGTCCATTCGCTTAAGAATCGATTCAATTGAAAACCACGTTATTTGTCCTTGTTGGTTTCAAAGGGAATCGATTTCACTACTGGAGAATACTGGAAACCGTTTTTTGTTTTTTTTTGTTTTAAGGAAATGGCATATACCCTAGGATCCCGAGGCCTCACTGTTTGAGGTCTTTGGGGGTCAAAGCTTTGCCCTCGTATTTAGGGGTCTTGGGCTCCTAATCTGTTTCATGTCCGCTGTTTTCGACCGGGCAGGTTTGTGATTGGGTTGGAAAGGGTTGGCGCCTGGCTGAGTTTGTGAGCTGCGGAAACGTTTGATGGGATGAACTTCTCGCGCGGTGTTGTCCCTGGTAAGATAGTGGTTGTTTGCCGTCACGGCTATCGGATATGATCAGCATGCAAAGAGGTTCAAGGCCGCGCGCGCAGATGCTTGGGATGCAAGGCAAGCCTGAACGTGGCTTGATTTTTCCTCAATCAGAGAATGTTTCCCAGACAGTTGCTTTTTGTTTTCCTAGATCGGCTTCTGGAGCAGATATCAGGGAGAGTTCCAGAGGGTTCGGGGCTGTTGAGGATATCACCTGGGGTATGGTTGTGCTTTGGGTGTTGCTTGTCGGAAGCAAAGACTCGGCCGAGAGTCGTTCTTGGGATTTTCCATGACAAGCATTCTGTGTAGTGAAGGAAGCCTACCGTAGAAGTATTGATTCATACCAAACAAACCCTGCCTAGGCATAAAACGTGCTGTTTCTGGTGTGTGCGCGGAATTGGGCTTCTCACAAGCTTGAGGGTCTGCAAAGGAGAAGCTTGTGGCTGACATCCCATGCGAAGGAAAGCTTATATAAAATAGATATCACGCATTGTATATTTGCACATATGAATAAGTAGTGCATGCACATCATTAGTGCATGCACATGTGTATTCCCGCTCCGCTAGGACTCGTGACCCATGAGGTTCTTGTTTTGGGTATGTGTTCCGGGTTTCTGTTGGGAAGCTGGGGATGCTCGGCATTTTGGGAATTCCAATAGACAAAGCCACGTCTGGAAGCATATCTCAGACGGCGGCTTTCAGGCGGATCTGGCCGCCGCGACGGCGGAAGCTGTGGCAAAAGCCATGGGCGGCCAAGAGCTCACCGTGTGAAGGCACCCGCGCTGTTATCAACGCCAGAAGCTGGTTGGTGGTTTCCCTTTAGCCTACCACTTGGGACTTTGATACTGGTAGAATCATGGGGCCAGTAGTGCGGATATGCCCGAACACTCGTTTGCCAACAGAAACCACCGAAGCCGAGTCATCAGGGCTTGTGTGTGGGTAAAGCATCCACACCAGTATGTTGGCGCTTGCTGGTGTCTCTGAGGCGAAGCTTGAGAGGCTCATGCAGGTATGGCGAGTGAGACATGCCGATTGATCAAAGTCCTTTGCCTTCGGGAGGAGCATCTAGGTGCTTGAGAAGGGAGTTGTTTCAGACGTTGGAAAGGTTCCCGCTTTGGACAATGCCACGGACCATTACGTCTGCTTGTGGAGGAGTAACTCCTGAGCACGGTGTGTTTGATCTTAGCAAGCGCTTGAATTGGCAGATGTTCTGAAAAGCCACAGACAAGGAGACTGTGATCTCAGGACTTTTCTTTGCTACGAGAAAGGGCATGGTCAAGGAAGCTATAACGTACCTTCCCACCAATTAACATGGAACCTGACGTTCGGGGGTCCCTTTAAAGGAAAATCGTCTTTCAGGATTCATGACCCCTCTGGCAGCACTGGGTTCCATGTTGATTGGTGGGAGGGTAACACGCAAACCACTCCAGAATCGTTCATCAGAAGAAGCTAAGCTTAGACCCACGTGCTCGTGTAAGGTTTCAGGTACACAGCAGGTTCAGTTCTCATGAGGGCAATCAATCAATCCTTTACGGTTGGCTTTTCAATCTACAATGGGGCCGAGCCGTCCCAGATAGGTGCTGTGCTTTTGGTTTCCCTTGAAAACCCATCCATTTAAAAAGGGTCCGATTCCTTTTCTGAGACACCCCCACATAAAAATATCCCGCGGACCGCTTGTTTGTTTCCTCAGAGGTGCTCCCAGTGGATTCCACCCGATTGTGCGGGCCCTAGTGTTTTCCATATGAAATTGTTGTTTTTGCAGACGTGCAAACAGGCTATTTCAAGACAAGGCAACTGACTCAACACCAATCCGCACCTCAAGAACTCCAAACGTGTTATTTCTCTGTGTAGTAAATGTGTTTAAAAGGTGTATTGAACCTTGTCAACATCACATCCTAAGATTTACAGGAAACAAGCATAGCGTGTGCGAGATATTCCTGGAATGCGCCTTGTCAAGATTTGCAGTCGAGTGTTTTGTAGTTGCAGTTCTGTGGTTCTTGGAGTACGTGTCGCGATACACTGCCTGTCGACAGCCAAATGAGTTCAAGTCTTTGACACTTAACATTAACATGGCATTGTGGCCTGTCACTTCACCCGGGAAGACGTCTTTCTTGTTTGTTCTTCTTCCTTTTTTTCTTTCCCAAGACTCATGATGCTGCCTTAGCCAGCTCATCCTTCGGTTTGCTTCAAGTGCTCAGCTAAAAAGCAACGATAAGCAACATGCTAGCAGCTCGGGCCGCATGTTTCAACGGGACATGGTCATGGGCAATTTTATGTGGCACCTAGAACATGCGTGCATTTGCTGTGGTAGAATTCTTCATCAGTCAGCTAGAGGGCAAAACTAGTTCATTGTGTTTGAGGGCAATCAGCCAAGCCAGCAAACATTGAGCCAGAGTGTTTCCGCATCTACTGTCTGCTTTCAGGCAAGCGGATGGGCCGAAGGGTGAGCTATATTGGATTCGCAGGGTCAAAGTACCTGCTTCGGATATGTAGACTTCATTGGGTTCCGCTCTTGCGGAGCCATGAGGCACAGAGTTTGGGCTACGCCTTTCCGGGATAAAAGGGGCTTCAATCATCACCTTAACACCAGCGCATGCATCAAGCCCGGTTCTGAGGTCTTTACAGCTTGGATAGCAACGGGTATCGACCCAACTTGGGGGATGTGTTTTATGGTCTTCCAAAGGCCTGCATTGTTCAGCTTGATGGGTCACACATGGTCTTGGGGTTGATGTCTACCGGGGGCCCGAGACCGAATGTGAGTGCCCAAAGCCTTGGAGGTTCAACTGTGACAAGCTGCAAGTGGAGGTCCGCACTGTTTCATCGGCGCGCACTCGGAACGGGCGCAAAGCCGACCCTGAGTCGAGCTACGAGAGTGGCGCCGGCACCACGAGGTGGCACGGGGTTGCTCCCAGAGACCACACACATCCTGACAAGTAAGCGAAACTCACACGGTGCTTGCATTTTGCCGACAATGAATGAGCTCGGGCTGTTTGTTGTTTGGCTTTTGCAAACGCGGCGCGTATTGTATATGTACCTATAATATATGTCCCATGTACCATTTGCCCGACGCAGGAGTCCACATACCAGCCTTGTGCTCAAAGCCCCTAGGGCCCCTCGGAGCAACTCTGTTGCCAAGATCCGGTCGCCGAACCCGGGCAGTCCAGGGTTCTCCACCCCGCTCTGATTTTATTATTGTTTTGTGTGTTCTGTAGGAACCAAGTGTTTGTTTGAAGAAAGTCAAGTGCTTGTCTTGGTGTTGACTGCCCTGGCTTGGGTGAGAGTTGCCCTACCGGTCGCCGGAAAACTGACTGCGAAGCTGCCGGGACGGGGTTCATCTTGAGGTGCGTTCTTTAGCTGCCATCGTTTGGGACCATTCGACTGGCCTTCACGGACATTGTGGCCACTCCTCTACACGAGCAGTGTTCCTTCAGCGCAAGACATGGCTTGCGGCAAGGGTTTACATGGGTGCAGCAGCCGAAGAGAGTCATCATCGATCGTGCCGATTTGGCCCTCTTTGTCTGCAAAAGTACCTGCAGGGGCGCTTTTGGGAATGATGGCTTCTCAGGACAGTTTGCAGGGTAAACCAATTTCTTCGGATCACCCATATTGGTGCTTTTTGGTGGGGGCTGGGCCCCTAAGAGGGTGGGTGTTCCTTGTGTTTTTTTTTTTTAAACCACAAAACTGGGGCCTCGGAAAAAGACACACCCATATGTTTCCGATATAGTCAAACCAGTCAAACCACATCCAGTGCTTCTTTGCGGGCTTTGTTCCGATGGCCGGCAGGCAAATATTTCTACCTTTGTGTGCGTCCAGAGCGAGGCGCGCTTCCGTTTGGTCGTACTTAATTTTGCACGGTGCTGTGTGGCTGTGTGCTTCTCCAAGACAAGCAGGTGATGGTTTGGCTTCAACCTATCACAAAGATCGCCTCTCAAAGCATGTTTTGCAAGCGCCATCCAGTCAGTAGTATGGGGAAGTACCTCCGAAGCAGGGTACAGTATTGATGGCACAGATTACATAGATTAGCCGCGAACGATGTTTACACGGACTGTGCATGATGGTATGTTTTTTGCTTTGCCAGGTTAGCAATGTGTTGGGCTTTGACATGGAAATATGTGCTTCTTTGTTTGTTTGTTGAAAGCAGGATCAGTTGCGCATGAGTGTACCTTTGAGCAATAGGGTTTTTGATTTAGGGCTACGGTTGATGCCACCGGAATTGAGCTGTAGAAGGCGAGATATGTCACTTTCACATCTTCGGGACAATTGCATGATTGCCAGGATTTGTGTTCCAGAGTCAATGACACTTCTACCTGCAATGTCAAGCGAACATACACCGGGGAGGATCGGGCCCGTGCGTTGGACAGACCGGTTAGTAGAACTTGGAGGCGCAGTGTGTGTGTGTGTGTGTTTCTTTCTCAAGTCGACGGATACTTTTGGGTGTTCTAGACCGTCTTCGTGCAAGGCAAAGCGCCACTGCCCGTGACCTAAACTTTTTGTCGCCAAACCAAGGATTATGAACATTTGTTAAAACCATGCTGTAGGATACAGCCTCCACGTCATGGAGTCAGAGCCACTTTTGGACTCTTTTGGCTTGCCTTTTGTTGGCTGGCAGACCGGGAATGACGCTTCGTTTCCTAAGTTTGAAAACACACCCATGATTCCCGCACATTTCACGTGGGCAATATATCTTTACCGGTATTTGACCCATTTGGAGGGTAATTGCGGGTACATATTCCATGCATGGAGTGTTTGGGACATGGCTGTGGGAAATTGAGTTCGAGGGCCAATTTGTGTGATACCAAGTTCATCCGCCATAGAGTGATAAAACTATGGCCATGTTGATATGACAAAAAAGTTGGATGCTTCAAACCAATTTTGGAGGTATAGGTTTGAACAAGTGAGCAAAAGGGGAGCCCAGCCATTTTGTTATATTAAACACAGCGAGTGATAAAGGAAGCTCACTTCAAAGCCGACCTTTTGACCTTTTAGTTTCTCCTGCTTGGCAATCATTTTTAAGTGGCCCCAAAAAGGTGATCTGACCTTGTATGTCCAGGTCAAGGGGCAAGTTCGGAAGCCCCCAACAGGAAGCAACACGAACCAAAACAATCAAAACACCAAACACAGAACAATCATAAAAAAAAAAAAAAAAACGACAAACAAAAGGAGAAGAAACAGCAACAACAAAAACAAACAAACAAGCAACAACCAACACAAAAACAAAAAACACACATGAGGGTTTCAAGGGAAACCAAAAAGAGATCTTTCGGCCCCATTCCATCCGGTCCACAGGTGCCGGCGCAGTCGGAGCTGCGCCGCTGGCCTGCGGAGGGTCTCAAGGTGAAGGGCCGCAGGCGAGTGGCGAGTGACGGGCGACGGGTCCTGGGTCCAGGAACGAGGGAATTGAACCCAAAATAGAAAAGTTGAGCCCTTTTTTTTTCCTTATACTGGAAAAGAAGGGATGATTAAAGGGCATTCCATTTCTCCTTCCCTACTTATCCTAGGTCCCCAAGCCAGGTGCCCGACCTCTCACCCCTTTTTTGGTTGAAAGGGTTCCCTATAGGCATGTTGGTTGGGAGGGTTCCCCTACTAAAATAGACTAAAAAGAAAAAGTTGGTACCAACTTATTCTAACCTTTTTACTGGAGGACCTAGTTGTGTCGGACAAGTCCGGGGCTGTAAGCCATGCCATTCCCGACCACCACCACCCCACAATCCAACGTCATGTGCCCATGGTCCAAAATTTCAAGTAGAGCAACCAAGACGTAGTTGGAAGGTTCTGCAAGAAGGCTTCTTCATTCATCCGGGATCATTTGAGTTCCGAAATCAAAGAAGCATGGTTTGGGTGTGCATAGTTGCGTGATTATCCCGATTCCCTTTGCGCGAGGGCCGGGGCTTACAGAGTTGGTTGGCTTGCTTGCTCTCTAAGTTGCATGATTCCACGAAACACTTGCATGGTTTTGACAGGCTGTCAGATTTGAGCACAGCTGATACCTGGTGTTGCCTTCCCGTCAACATCTACGACATCGATTTGCTTATCCAGAAATGGAACGAGAAGACTGACTTGTACGTGGCCATAGGCGTTTCCTAGTATCCCCATTTGCCTGAATATGATCTACCTCTAGAAGACCATTCTGGAAACCTGTGTGCGGTCTTGGTATATGTAGATCAAGCCCAGTTGGTGGATCTTGTAGAGGCGTGTCTCTTCTTTTGGTTCCCTTCTTACATATCAGCTTTGCAGACGGCGACTCCAAAGAAGACACCTTGACCTTCTCCACACTCCGGCTGAAGCGATGCGAAGGACTACAATTGAGCAAGAAGGTGAAGCCCAAGTTATCAAAAGCATGGCAACTCTTGCAAGGTTCACGGACAGCAAGGTAAGCATTCCCGGCAGGGCGCTGAACCTGCAAGAGCTTCAAACACTGTTCGCCTTAGGTCACCCCGAGATGTAGTCAATTAACATGGCCCTCCCTACTTTCTCAACGTGGCCCGACGTGGATTGAATGCCGAGGTTTTGTTTGCGACTACCCCTATCCATACTGGGCGGTCAGCAACCCTCTCTGTATGTTGTTTCTTTTTTCCGGTTTCCTAGAAGCATACAACTGGGGCTCCCTAGTTTTGTGAAACAGTTTCCAGGGCATGCCACAAAAGATCCATACCCATCCGAAGTCCATTCCGAAACCTCCCTGGATTGCAGGTTCTTTTTGCATTTTCCCCAACTCCGAAAATGCCGTGGACTCGCGTTTTCAAGCCCATTGAACCGATGCGCTTTGGGAGGAATTCCCTTCCCAGGAATTCCAAGTACCTCTTGAGGATGGCTTTTGGGGAGAAAAGAGGGGTCTAAGCACCTCCTTAAATACTAAAGCCCCTGCATGAGTTGTTTTTTTTCATTTCCCCAACTCCAAAAATGCCATGGACCGGTTTCAAGGTACCAAGGGACCCTCCGGGCTTGAAAGAGAGCACGGCTCGGAAATCTGCCAAAAGCCAGATGCTTACCCAACAGCAATCTTCAGAACCCCCCCCCGGCACATGGCTCATGGCTCATGGCTCGGAACGCTGTCCCAAAAAACGCGTAAATCCTCGGCTGGCAGCTGCGCTTTTGCGGGAGTTCCCTTTTTAAAGGGACATGACTCGGAACGCCTCCCCAAAATAAGCGGATCTTCGGCTGGCAGGTGCTTGCCTTACGCCCGCACAGCCCAGCAGTTCGCGGGCGCCCGTAAGTTGGCCCCGGCCTCGGAGAAGCGAGTCGTTCGTTCTTTTTTGGGTCTGTTTTGTTTTCCCCTTTTTTTTTTGGACCCCCCCCCAAATGGATGTGGATTTTCCTGCTGGTGTCATATGAAGGCAACCCACGAAGGGGTAACCCCAAACAAGGACACTCTCCCTGAGTTTGAGTTCCTGGGCTTGATTTACTTTTTGGGTGTGGACTCTTTCAGTGGCAAGCAAACAGTTTGGACTTTTTTGTCCCACCCACTCAGCAAGTGAGTTGCCAAGTGCTTTGCCGAGCGAGGTGCAATGTGTTGCAGATGCCACACATGCAGCAATGCAGATGCCCAATCTGATTTTTCTTTCGGGGTTTGCTTCGGTTTGGAACGCAACTTGTTTGCAGGAGTATATGCATGATAGCATGTGTTTTGCAAAGATGCGTGAGGCGATTCGTTGCGAAGTGCAACGCCCTTAGTGTTGCAACTTTCGAGTTGTGCTCGCCGAGCTGTAAAGGCCAGACGTCACTTGGTTTTGATGGCGTCATTTTTGTTTTTCGAAAGCGGCCCAGAATGTGCCCAACAATTACCTCATTATTCAGAAATAAATGTCAGGGTATACAGCTTTTCGGAAAGACAAGCTTTTGCAGCTGTGGATTCGTCTGGGCTGGGTAGAAGCAAACAGGTTCACATAGCCTTGACAAAATTTGGCAACACTGTGGGTTCGATGCGCCTCTGGAGATTAAAAGCTAAAGGAGATGATGTCTGACAATGTCGGCTGGGGCAACCAGGGGGTGAGGAAGGGCTCCCAGGCTGTCGATTTGCCAATTTCGAACCTCGCAAGGAGGGAGGGGTTGTATAGATTGCTCTCCCACCAATTCTCCTGTTCAGGGGTCCTTGAAGACCATTCTCCTGTCATGTTCCATGGTAGTTGGTGGGGGGGTAATCCTGTGGATGGCTTTAGTATTTTGGCCAAATCGATGAGCTGCGTTTTGGCGTGACACAAAGTGAAAGCAGGAACCCTGTCTACGGGAATAAGATGCGCTCGAGAAGCCAAGCTTGAACGGCCCACAAACCATCCCTTGTGGTTTGCGTTGCTTGTTTTGCTTCTGGGTTTTTCTTTTCATGAACCTCCAGTAGGAGCTTTTGGGGCCTGTTTGTCAATATAATTTCGGATTTTCTTGCATGGTTCTTCATGGGGGAGCCATCCTAGCGGTCACAAGATCTCTCATGATGTGCGGTCTTTGGGGGTCAACGTCCCTCAGATTTAGGGTCTTGGGCTCGGGGTTTGTGGCAACGGCGCTGAACACCCTCTCGGATTTCCTCCCCCATTCAGGGCTAGGGCGGTCAAAGCCCACCTTTGTCGGGGTTTGCAGCAGCGGTTCTGAACACACGTCTAAAAATCCCTCTCAAAAATCCCCCCCCCCCCCCCCGCCCCCCGCCAGTTCCTGCGCTCCGAGCTCCGGTCGCCTTTTGCGCTTTTTTTTGCACGTCCCTCAGCACTTCCTGCACGAGCCCTTGGAGGACTTGGAGGTTCCTGGCCTGGAGCCCAAAAATCAAAAAGAAGGCGAGATCGAGAGGCGAGGTGCAGCTGAATGCGGCGATCCGCTCCAAAGAGTCACTTCCTTTTTGCGGTCCTTGTAAGGGTTAAGGGTTCCCTCCAAAAAACGGTAGTGCAGGTAGTCTCAAGAAAACGATTCGCTCCGTCCTTGTAACCCAGAGGGTCCAAGTTTCTTGCAATGGCTTTTGGGGAGAAAAAAAGGGGTCTAAGCACCTGCTTAGAAGGTACCAAGGGACCCTCTGGGTAAGAGTTCCCTCAAACAAACGGTAGCCTCAACCAAAAAGACTGGCTCCCGAAGGTCCGAGATAAGTCTTTAGTCACTTTGTGGATTTGGACCATGTTAGTGGCAAATGAACAGCTTGGCTTCTTGTTTCGGCCCATCCACGATCGTAAGGAGGCTTGGGCAATGCACCAGGAGAAGCGTCCATTGATCCCAACAGGCTGAAAGTATATTGATCCCTAAAACGGGATTTGCCTCAAAAGCAAATTGCTGCAAGAGTGAAGACTCTTTGGATCCATCAATCTGCAAGCGGTACGACCTTGGGCGCCTTTACTTGCACCTTTCTCTGCGCATTTTTTTGACCTCGCGGAACGCTTTGAGCACCTGCCCATGGACGCCGGGGCGCTGGCTGCTTCTGCTTGCGACCAGCGGTCCTGTGGCTCACTCCAGTTCATAGACTTGAGTCACACGGGAAGACCAGCTTCGCCGGAGCAAACCAACGGTGTGGTTACTTCTTGTGGCCAGTCCAGGAAGTGAGATGGGTGTGGTTGTCAAAAATAGTTGGTCACCTCAAAATGGCGCAAGCCCTGGTAAATGGAACCAAGGACTAACACCTGCGGTCCAATTCCTGGTGGTTTAATTTTGATGGTGAAGAAGTTATTGCCAGCAATTGGTTTCATCCGACGTCATCATCTTCGGTTCTTCGTGCCGGTGCCAGGATTGTGCCCGCAGGCGGTTTTCTGACCTATGGCTTGATGTTGTCACAGCTTGTGGCATCACAAGGGGTGTCTCCCCCTTTGGGGGTTGAACATCTTTGGGGTTTGGCCCTTTGTGTAGGTCCCCCAGCCAGGTGCGCTTTCTCTCCCCTTTTTGGTTGGGAGGGTTCCCCTTCTAAAACGGACCAAACAGAAAGAAGTTGGTACCCTTATTATAACCTCTCCACTGGAGGACCTAGTTGCGTTGTATCACATATTCGTGGATTCCATTTCAACCACAGCCCGATTTCCCGGTTCGGTCGAGGTAGCGAGCACCTGCACGCCTTCACAAACAAGCTGGAGGTGAGAGCTTGGGCGAGGGGTTACCTTGTGACACTTCCAAGTGGCCGTGGTTCAGGGATCCCATTTCGGGATAGGTGAATTCACAACCCATTTTAGAACCAATTTTAGTGGGGATGGGGATGTTCACTGGGGGTACGGCGTTTTGACCCATGGCCAAGTGGGAAAATAAGAGAGGCACTGAAAGGGGCAGGGTACTTAGTGGGTAGTAAGCCTGGTATAATAGCCCACTTGCCATGGTTGTATGTTTCCTAAGTGGGCTATAACCAGGCCTACCAAGCACTTACCAAGCACCCTGCGCCTTTAAGCGTTTATTGGTTCCCCTATGACCAGGATTCACTCTACGACTCCCTCCGCTGTTGATTGCACATGTTTGCACTAGGGCTCTTAATCTCTTCCAAAGAAGGACATGATCTCGCACTGGACATAGGTGTCCTTTTTGGTGGTTTTGGTCTTTACCTGGTGGTTCAATCATCTACCAGGGCCATCTATTTCCAACCGAAAAGGACGCCTATGGCACTGGATGGAGTCCAAACGAAAGGGCAAAACCTCTACCGGTGGAGTCCTGCGAACCGGCGCCAGCAGAAAAGGACCCAATGACCCTTGTAGGCCAGAAAAACAAAGGAGCCATGGGCCGTATTATGTTAGGCGGTCTTTTTGACGCGATGACTATGGGGCACGAGTCAAAGCAGTCTGGCCAGCGAAGGGAAATCAGAAGAAAGTTTTGCAGGGCAGGCCCGTGCATTGTGCATGGTCCCAGCAGCTCTGGAACAGACGAGGTGCTTCTTTGGGGTCAGCTGTTTTCTTGGGGTTGGTTAGTTGAGTGGGTTTGTTGTTTCGTTCATTCATGCTTGCATTCATTCATTCATTCATTGGGGTGGGTGCGTGGTCTTGGGCAGCAGCGCCAGCATCATTTGGACTAATAGCAAGCCCGCATTAGCCGCATCGCCTTTCCCTGATTTGTGGCTGGCTTGGAGCTGACTTCCATTTGGTGCTGGTTACAGCAGATTGATGAGGGCCCCCCTGTACAAACCCACACACCACGGAATGACATACGATTCAACAGACTGGCGATGCACAGTTGATGCACGCAGTTGTCCAAAGTACAAGTGAAGACCGCAGCACTCACCAACTGCAAGCTGCTGAAATAGTAGTGCCCCCATCCACATCAACGCAATGCGCATGCAGCAGCACCTCGCATACCTCGGATAAACATCTCGACCGGATAGATGTTCCTGCAACTTGAGCATTATGTATCCCCTCTATTGTTTTTTCTGGGGGGAATCGTCACCCATATACGTGGCGCCTCTAAGAAGAAGAAGAAGAAGAAGAAGAAGAAGAAGAAGTGTTGATTGAATGGGTTCGTGCAGAGACACGCATCGCGAAGCATTTGCAGTTTCCGCTTTCCCTCAGTATGGTGAATTAACACCTTCCTCCCGAGGCTGTGGCAACCTCGCAGGACAGTATTCTAAGAAGCCAGATGAATATGCAGGCGTTAGATAAGTGCAATGGAGCGCTCGGCTGCAACTTTCCCATGAGCAAGTGGAACCTCCCCCCTTCCCGCAACATCCTAAACTCCCCAAAGGTCGCGCACTCAGTGCCCAGAGACCCGGATTAATTCGTTCAGCGCATCCCGCCCATCGCCATGCGGCCCTCGCGTCGCAGGCCCGTTTGCACCAGGGCGAGACGCTCTTGGTGCACTGCATGGGAGGCAAGGACAAGGGGGCGCGGAGCGAGGAACAAGCCCTGCCACTTCCATTTGCTTAAGAATATTGTGTGTTTTCCCTGTTGGATGTTTTATTATCCTCTGTTAGTTTTAGAGGGAATCTATCACTATTGGATTTTGTGTATGTTTCTTCCAGGGGGCTTACGCAAATGGAAGGCCAGAAACATTCAAAACGCAAGGTCAGCCTTGCCAAGCCCCCTGCTAGCGCTCGGTCCTAACAATCTGACTTCTGCGAGGTCAAAGAAGAGATGAAGCAGAGTGTCAATTACACACGGGTCAGTAAGAACAAATTGAACAAAGGGTCCGCAAAACGTAAGGCGGAACAACGAGGGACCCCTTCGCTCCGTTTGATAAAGATGGACACACCCACCGAAAATAAGACCCAAGCAGTCGCTGTAGAACAATTGCAGCATTTGCAGCTGCATTGGCGATGTTTGTTTTCTCATGGATAATGCTGTGTCCTCAAGCTGGTTTCAAAGGGAACCCGACCAAAAAACAACCGACCAAACTCTTTTTTGGGGTCCAACCGTAAAGGAGACACACCCCAGAGTTCTTGTTTTGAGTTTGACGAGTAGCTTTCCTAAACGAACAGAAGAAAAGCGCATGGCCGCCATCCCTGCCTTTGAATGTGGGAAAGGGGGCGCCACTGTTGAAGCAACCAACACTTGGGATGTCTTTTTTATGGCCCCCCAAAAAAAAACATCTTTTGGTTTCCCTTTGAAGCCAAACCGGGGGTACAAACCACAGACCGGCACGAGACTCGGCTGTCAGACAGTCGGGTGGCCTGCGCAGGCCGTGGCCGAAGCAACCTGGTGGCAGGCCTTGGAGGGTTGGGAAAACTTGGTGTTTTGGGCCTGGTGGGTTGGATTTGGATTTGAACCCTTGGTGCTTGTAGTGGGTAAATGGGAAACCCATGCGTAAACGCCCGACCACCAATCCAATCCACCAATTAGCGGGAAGCTGATAAGTAGGAAACTATGAATCATGTTGATCCCGGATTGATACAGGCTGTTCCCTCACAACGTGATGAGCCCCCCACTAAAAGGGGACACCCCTATTGATCAACCAGGGGTTTATTGTGTTTTTACACCAACAAGTTGGATTGCGACGTTACAACTTCCACGCAGGTCCATGTCAGTTTCAGGTTGGTAAGATCTCATACCGTGCCCTTCATGAGGTGGTGTCCACCAAAGAGGTTTCCCAGCTGCATCGGGGTAAACGTGGTTCCCCTCCGGGCACTTTTTGCTCATGTGCAAAGAACCCAAAGGCTCCTGTCGCCAAACAATCTGGGAGAGGTACGTGGTGGTCTAGCGCCACCTATCCCTAGGGATGAACCGCGCGCCAGTCGCCAGAGAAAAACCCAGAAAACAACAGGGAAAGGTTTAAAAGTACAATATCCACAGGTGTGAATCGTGCAAGGTCGGCATCGTGACACCCACTTTGTTCGAATGTTGTCCTTGGGGGTCCAAACTCACCAGGGTGCCTGCTTGCGAAGCTCTACGATCTTCCAGCTGATGAGGTGACTGGGTCTTTGTGGGATGGAACCCCGGGGTCGGCTGTGGTGGTCGAAACTTCCCCAGAACTAGCTCCCCTTTTGGTTTTGTTTTGCTTTTTTGGGGTCTCTTTGTTTTCCACTAACCAGGCAAGAATGTTTTTTTTTGCTGGGGTCCTATTTCCCGCCTAGAAAATAGGGTAACGCCAAAGTTGGACGGAAGTAGGGACTACAACCTGCGGTCCAAGTCCTGGTGGTTGAATGTTGACCCATACCGTGAACATAGGTGTCTTGTTTGGTTAATTGATGGGTTCCACTGGTTGAGATGGCGCCCCACTTACCAGGGCCATCTATTTTTCCAAAAGTCCTAGGCCTGTGAAGACAAATACAGGCTAGCTGCCAACTGGAGTTTGTTCATCCACTGCAGTTCCCCCGGGTGGGTTTCCTGGGCGACGACATAGACACTTTGCTACAAAAAAGTAGGGGTCTTGATATTTTCCTTGTGGCGGGTTTAGACACTTCTTTTTGGCACCAGTCCAAAGCGAGGGGCTGGGTGATTTTTGAAGACATGCCAGGAACCCATTTTTGGGGGGAATGGTGGCATGTGTGTGTGTGTGTGCGCGGGGCTTCAGAAGAGGGAGCACGTCAGTTTCCTGTTTGTTGTCCTTCACCACCAACGAGTAGCCTCAACGGACAAGTGTCCGGGTTTGATAGTATCGTGACCCTTTCTGGTTGTTTTCGTTGAAGGGAAGCGAGTGGTAAGGGAACTCAGGGGCGGAAATTACCCAGGGAACCTACCCAGGGGTTGAATCGGGTCTTGGCAGAAGTTACCCAAACCTACACAGAAACCAACCAATTCTTGAAAATACGGTCGGCTTCCATTCATCCGCCTCGCCTGCAGCTGCAACTAAAAGCGTGGCGGTTTCCTTTGAGCTTGCAAGAAAAAAATACACAGGTCACACATGTGTATAATAATAATAATACAAGTAAAATGATAGTAGTAATAATGGAAATAATAATAATAATAATCATAATAATTATTATTATTGAAAAAAACAACCGTGAGTGTGTTTATCACATATAAGCCTAGTTATTCTCCCATGGTTTTCAAGGCCCGCCCTTATTGGGCCGATTCCCCAATCCCAACAGCAGCACAAACAACGCGACGGGGATTTCTCAGATTCCTTTTGGGCGCCTTTGTTTTTGGGGGGCTTTGGACTGACCGTGGGATGTTTGTTTCGTAGCATTTGCTGCTTGGTTTCCCTCGCTCAACGGCTCGGCTCAGGTGGAGCAGCGTTTGCAGCTGGGCTACGAATCCAGGCATTCGAGTCGCCACGTTCCCGTGGCAATCTGAATGGTTGGGGGGAGTCAGCTGGAACCAATTTTCTCGAACGGGTGTGTCTTGAAATAGCTGGACCCCAAAATTGGTGGTTTCCTTTTGGTTTCCCTTTCAACCACCAAAACGGGTACCCTCAAAAAAAGGGGATCTATAGCGCTTCTATCTAAATTGGGGGAAGCCGGTTTCCCTCCGGTGTCACCTTGAGATCAAGCAACACAGTACCCTTCCCCAATGAACCCCAGTTACCCTTAGTGGGCACCCAGCTAATTATTTTGCGTTTGGTTTTGAAGGGGTGGTTCCCTTGCTTCTACGAAACCAGGTCAAGGTAAATGGATCCGCTGGGTTCATGAAAAAGTTTTTTTTTTTTTTTCCGCCTGCCTGCGAAAGATTGTGAGGTTCATGCCGTGCATGTCTACATGTCAATATGCTGTTGTCCTCGGGGAGCGTCGTGGGGGCATTGGAAATTTGGGCAAAGTGCGCGGAAGCCTCACTTCCTGAGTTTATGGACTTGAAGCTTGTCGGGAAGACCATTTTATTGGAATACCAAACAGTTTGGGCTTGTTTGGGGTGGTTCTGTGACATGGATTTCGACATAGACGACATGGGCTAACATTGGAGGGTGTGGAAGTTTCTGAAAACCCGGACATGGTTGCTCCCTGCGCCATTCAGAACTATTGTTGGTCCTTTCTTTTGCCGGGAGGGGGATGTCGGGGAGGGCCAAACTTGATTACAAGTAGGAAAGTAGGAGAGTGTGCTCGACAGAGACCCAGACCCACCCGACTTAATCCTCGCGTGAGCTCAACATGCTGGCCCCTCACTGACAGTACTCGAGCACTACTCGTAGCACATAATAGCAGAGACATGCACAACACACCATTGAATATATTGGGAATACCTTTGTGTCCCTGTTCAGGGACACAAAGATGCACATATTGGGTCAGAACATGTGGTTTCTCAAGCAGCTTTGCCAACCGGTGGACATTATAAAATCGAAGGGCCCCTGTACGAGTGCAATTTATATTTACAGAAAATATGATGCTTGCACCTGTAGAAGGAGCACCCATACCGCAATATTTGTCTGGCCTTTCTCCCATATATTGGTTGCCCTGGTTTAGTATATTGAGGGATGGGTGAGTTCGAAGGGAGTAGCTAAATTAGATCCAGACATGGCACACTCAGATGGGGTCCAACTAATTTTATGATATGAAATAACATGAGCCAGTAGGGACTCATGCAGTCCTAAATGAGTTTTGAGACACCCCTAGATGACCCCTGCTTAATTTCCAAAAAAAAGTAATCAGATTATCAGACCCGCCTTCCATGTCTTTCCGCCAGTAGAGCAACAATAGGGAGGTTTGCGATCTGTTCGAACATGCCGTTTATGCTCTCTCAAATTCATGCGCATATCTCTTGCCCTCGCTTCCGGCGATTCCTGGGTGCAGGGACTATGACAACTGCCTGGTGCCGGAGACGCAGCGACAGCGTGACACGCTCCGTGCATTTTGCTCGGAGCTTGGCTGACTGAGCCCGTGTTGCAGCTTTTTGAATCTTTGAAAGCCATTTATTCCAGCGTTGCAGAGCCAACCTTTAACATGTACTTGGTGCTTCTAAATCGAGTCCAGAAGAAGAAGAAGCCGTTGGAGTGCAATCAGACGAGCTGTGCATCCTAGTCACTAAGACCCTGTGCCTGGCGGCTGCAACACCACAGTGTACAATCATTGAGAACTGCGAATGTACCGAGCAACTTCCGAAATGAGCGTTGCGTGGGCTGCCGATTATTTTGGGCCCCCATGGTGCTTTCAGCTGTCCTCAGCCCTTTCACTTTTGGTTTTTCTTTAAGGCGTGGTTCACGTTTTTAAACTCGTGTAGTGAGCAAAACAGAGTACTTGCTAAAACTGTGGAGTAATGGATCAGTGTTTTGGAGTGCCAGCTGGAATCGTGGTGTTTTCTCCCCAAAACTCATTCAGAAAGGTCCAGTAACATGGAACCTGAGGTTATTTCTGGTCCTGGAAGACGAGTTTCTGTTGAAACGGGGGCCATTTCTTTGGTGGGTTCCATGTTCATGGAGGGTACATGTGGAGTGGCAAGAAGTTCGGACTTGCATCATGCACCCCTCGAGCATGAGTAGCTGACATACGGCAAAGTATGTTGTTGACTTGCGTTGGACATGGGTGTTTGCCCAGTTTCACCCATGAAACAAGAAATCAACAATGACAAACAATATATATATATATATATGTGCGTGGTTCGTGCATTGTATTACCAACAGGTTTGCAACAACCTCGTTGGCAGATGCATGCTTGTGTTCTGCTCATGGTTGAGAGAAGTCTGTGGAAGTCTGTTAGTCTGTGATTGAGAGATGTCAGTGAAGCTTTGTTGTTGAACGTTCAGCTGCTATCGACACCAACCGTCCAAGTAGACTGACCATGGTTGTATTGGAGTTGTTGGCAAACCGCACGTACCGCAGTTGTCTTGATTTCCATTGTTAGAGCTATGAGATAGTCAGGCCCAGTAAAACTAAGTCCTGGATTGTGGCTTCCAAGATTGGCAACCTTCCCGAAAGTGGAAAAACCACTCGGGCGAGACTCATAGACTTGTGGCGCGCAAGCTTCATCTGAAGAAGAAGCCTGCGGTTGGGGGCCAGTTTCTTTTGCAGTTCGCACTGATGCTTGAGAAGACTTGCTGGTGCTCAGTAGGGAATGCCCTAGGGTTTTGGGAATGAACCTATGGATCCCTTATAGGAAACCAAATCGGGCATGGTTTATCTCGGGATCATTGCATTTCTCATTCCCTGCCTATGGAACCAGCAAGAAGCAGCACCTTAGAATATGTCAAACTCATGGAAACCTATCATGTTATATATGGCCAATCAAATGGATGTCCATGGCTTTCACATGTTGCCCGACGCTCGGAGCTGCTTGGGGTGAGTGTGTCACAATCTGGTTCCAAGGTAGGGCTCGCGTTGCCTTTTTGAAGGGAGTTGGCTTTGCGGGTGACCTAAGGGGGACATTTGGGAAGCCCAGTTTTAGCATTATCAAAGTGATTGGACGTGTGCCATATCGCCGTGCAACAAGTCTTCAGTGTGTAGTTATTTGGCATTTGACCGTCTAACACCACAAACTCAGCTGCTGGCTGTGTGCTTATATACTGACCTGGATTCAATCCCTGATTTCACGCAGCTTGATCAGGGCGTCAATGAGACATTGACTGGCGTTTGAGATCAGTCCAGCCTTCGGGCTGGCTGGTTTCTTTTGTAGGGATGCTCGAGCCTGGATAGTGTCGGTCTTGTAGCCCCCAAAGTCCTTGTAGCCGGCGTAGCCGTTTAAGGATAAGAACCGGGAGTTTCAATCGGATTTCAACCATCCTGCGCATGTTAAGTCAAGAGCACCTGATATCACCGCACATAACACGATGCGCGAACCTCGGATCCTTGGGCAGTGGCTACATTCCCAAAGTTGGTGCTTTGCTGTTTGGCGTGTTTCTTCCCCCCACGTACACTGAGCCAGGTATCGCTGCTTTACCTCCTTTTTTACAGGATCCGTGTTGTGATAGTGATAGTCTTAGTGCTTTGGCGGAAATCGGATTGATTTGTTGCCTCAGAGGCTGCGGATCGATGGCTTTTCAGCCAGGTGAACAATTTGCTGCAGGTCACCTTGACAAAGGCGCATTTCGCGATGCCGATCCGCGCCTTTCGCGTGAATGATCGCATGGGGGGACCTTGTGCTGTCTTGTCTAACAGGCTTTTGCATTTGAGTTAGTGTGATTGCCCAGCTTGTCGCTGAAGCTAGGAAGCAACAATTTTGTGGTGTGCCCTTAAGGAATGCTAGATGAACATGAGGTTGATTTAGAGGTTTAAACATGAAGGACAGAGCGCTAAGGACAAGAAGCAACTATGGCTCTACACGCCTTGAACCAACAAGTTACCTACTGAATTTCTGTGCGTGCTCAATCAACACGCGCGCAGGAAATGGCTGGCTTAGCAGTCAATACTCGAAGTTGAGGTTTTTGTTTGTGTATTACGCAATGGCAAAAAGTCACAACACTTGAACAATTCTTGCCACCTATGTCATAAGTGGCAAGAATTGCTCAAGACAAACATGGAAGCAAAATGATATGTATCATGAGGGAAAGCGGAAGGTCTTCAAGGGAGCTATCCTCAATGTTCAGTGTCACTTTTGGGGAGCTGATTCGGACAGTCAGTGACCATTGCTCCCGTGAACATGGTTGCTCCGTACCAAATCGGAAGCATAGGATTGGAATATTGTGAAGGGCATTTGTGTGTGTACTGTAATGTGGTGGTTGATGAATGTTCCTGACGCCCAAATGACCATGGGTAACTTTCCCATTTTGTGGGACACTTGATTTTAAACAAAAAAAAGTTCAGTTGTTTGCCCCGGTGTCATCTCATGAAAAGAACTTTTTGATCAACCCCTATATGCAGGACATCAATGGACCTCTTCTTTTGAGAACATATGTATTGCCTTCAATAGGATGTATTTTTTGGATCGATATCGGCATTTTGTCCATTTTTTTTTCGGCAGCCTCGGGCTTGACATGGTTGCTCGCAATTTTGAGACATTCACAACTGCGTAGGAAGTAGGAGGAAAGAGCTCATCATGACATACTGGTTCCAGTGAGACTTTAAGGAACCCTTGCCCTCACAAACGTCCCCTTGAAAGACTCACAGGAATTGGTACACCATGACGGCAATCACTGGCTGGTTCTCAGCAGGGAATGAGGGAATGACCCCAGACCAACTTCCCTTGTGATTTCCTTTTCAAGGGAATCTCCAAAACCGGTTCATTCCCAGCACCCGGACTCCTTGTCATTCCAATACCTATCGCACCCGCAAGATCAGTAAGCACGCAGACGCTTCACGCGGGAACGGCGCTTGGTAGGTGGAGCAATGCGCCAGCGGTGCCCCTGCCCCAGCACTGTTTCGAACGCACACGAAGGGCTGCCATGGGGAACTGGTTTTCAGGTGAGTCACGGCCTCAAAAAACGATCCGGGTAGGTAAACAGATGTTCCCCTTGGGTGCCTTCGCCGTTGCTTCAATTCTTGAAGCATGGTTCTGGGTAGCCTCCCACCAACCTCGAAGTGCACAGAGCCCCTTTCCAGGAGGAGAGTAGTCTTTCAGGGGTCTGTGCACTTCCATGTTCGTCGGTTGGAAGGTAGCTCATTTTAATTCCAGCTAGGGTTGAATAGTGACTGAGGTGCCCTGAACCATGACACAAGGAGACTTGGGGGCGGATTGGCCAAGTGAGCAGTTGGCTTGGCCTGGCTTGGGGTTTTGGATAGCGGACCATGGTCGGTGCTCATGAACATTTCTGTTGAGCCCTTTAATTAGCCCCCTAGGGAGTGGGGGCCCCATCCAAAAGTGAGGATTTCCCACTAAACCCAGGGACATCCCCCTATTAGTGGACTGGGGTTGATTAATATGAGAGGCAACTTAATGATATTCACTTGTTGCCGATGTCTTGGCATGGACAAACAGACCTCGCATAGAATGCTGTTTTGAGGGAGGGGGTTCCTGGAGGTAACCAGATTCGCCCTGCCCCCTATCTACAACGCTCCGTTGAAATGAACCACAGAGCAGACATCCCCGACTGGCCACGTAGTGACAGGACTCTTAAGGATGCAGAACGTGACAGTGCACAGGTTCACCCTGTCACAGCGGTTGCTCAATCATTCAGCGGTTGCTCAATCATTGGCATGCTCACTCGTGTTGTATAGCATATTTTTCAATATTCACGGTGTTGTCAAAGACCTGCTCTGCACATAATACTTTGTCATTATGCTACGTGCTTGTGTGTGTGTGTTACATCCATTGGCGGGGCTCACCTTTTTGTAATTTCTCGCTTTTTACCTTTTGGGTTTCCTTGATTCCCCCTTGAATCAGCAAACACTTGCGTTTTCCAGGGCCTTAGTCTGGCTTCCGAGCCCTCTATCCGGTTATTCAGTTTCAGCTATGTTCCTCCCAATAGCCTCCCTACACGCGTCAACCACGTCCGCTGCAAGTAGGTTTCGAGCCGGCCACATGGATTGATCAATTGACTCATCGGTTCGTTGCACAGGATCAGGTCTCAAACTCTGTGTTTGTCTAACCCTCAAGATGTGTGCTTCATTTCTTTTTGGGGCGGCGGAGGGGGGGAGTTGCAACTCGACAGCATTTCAACGCTGTTCCTTTAAATCACCAGTATCTCTATTTTCCGTACCTCATTCTCAGATTTGCCGGCAGTCTGGTTAATCACCCCTCGCGTCGCGTGTTTGCCGCTCCAGCTGCACGAAACAGAGCAAGAGGGTTGGAAACCGCAAGCTGCGTGTCTATCCCCATGGACCTCTGTGGTCCTTTTTTTGCCGTCCCTGAGAACAGAAAACCGCGGGTTCTTAAAAAGCCCCGGCGCTTCTACGACTTCCATGGCTCACTTTGGATCTATCCGAAGGCCATCTACTGCCAGATCATCGACGCCTGTCAACCTGGAAGTGTGGCCATGCGGAAGGCCATCGGAACTTGCGGCGAGGGATCCAAAGGCTTCGGAGAACGCGGATGTGTGTTTCTAACCCCTTTGGGGGTTAATTGGTCCGGTGAACCGCCTGTTTCGGTCACGTTCTGTTTTGGGGATAAGGATTCCTGGTTGGAACGGGGCCCATGTCCTGTCTAATCCATCTTTGGGTTATTAACGGTCATGGGATTCCAATGGTGTCTTGAAATATTTTTGCAAGCTGATAAACCGCTTGAGCCCTTCCAAGCGCGATCCATCTTCCGCGATCCGTGCGAGGGAAGGCTTGGGGAATTTCACTGGGTCCTTTGGCCAGTGCCTAAGAAATCCTTTTTGGATGACACGTGGGTCTGTCTTTTGTGAGGGTCTCTCTTCCATCAAAACCTCATGGAAAATCACAATGTTGGGAATCCCCTAAAAAGACACGCCCATGTATCGAGAAATTATTGAAAGTCATCCCTTCTGCTTTGGCATCATCATGACCCTGCGTCATGTTGCACCTGATGTTCCACACTGGAGAATGGGATAGGGCTCTTGCATGAGCTGTTCTGGAAGCAACGTAGTCTTTGCTGTGAGCCAATAATCTACGAAATCTGGAAACACCGCACATTTGAAAGAATCTCTTTTCGGGGGCACCTGCACGACAACTTGCATGAAACTGGTGTGTCATTTGTAAGGGGATGTAAGGGGACCCCCGCCCCCCTCCCGAAGAAAAAACAAGGTTGTCCTTTTCTTTTGATATCCTGTAGCACAACCCTCAAAGGGGTATCTTAAAAAACAAAAAACAAAAACTCCTAAATATCACCCTGCATGGACTCTGCTGCTCGGACAAAAACAAGTCTTCCGTATGCAATGGCCGGCTCAACTTAGCGCTGGGCCATGCAGCTGCGGCAAAACACATGCAGAACCACCCCCCTTACACAGTCGTTCGGCAACTCCGGGCAGAAAATTGCGGCAGTTATTCCGAGCACAGCCGCCAGTGCTGAAGGCCAGGTCCTAGACACCGCGCAGAGTAAGGCTGCGCCTGTTTCTCTTGGTGCTTAAGGGAGACCAAGTCAGAGCCGGTTTTGAGAATTCCAAATGTGGCTTTGTCTCAAAGTAGGGGGACCTCAAAACGGCAACGGCTACCTAGCCATATTGAGACAAGCTGAGTCGTCCGGCTTAGCGGACACTCGCTCCATGTGAGCGCCGCGCGCGTCTAGCGGTGCCCCCAATGTTGTGAGCCCGGCTCTGTTGAGGGGCCGATGTCGGGGGAGGATGGTGCAGAGCTGAAGTCATGTTGAAGAGTTGAGTGAAGGCAAATTTTATGGTTTTTGGATGAATCAGAAGATGTTCCATTGGACCCAGAAACAGTTAGGCTTTTTGCAGAGGGGTCAACATCCAAGTGTAGGACTTTGTCTTTTTGGCATGCACATTGGAACACACTTAATTGCGCGACAAGGCCAAGTCTTGGAGCGTACAAGTGGTTTACACATCGCCCAGCTGTTCTTTCGCTTTCCCTTGTTGATTCACACAGACATTGCGGACCTTGACCCTGATGACCCTTGGTGTCATCAGCGCTTGCCAATGTTTTGTCAAGCCACTGACTCAAAGATCAACCGCTTGTGCTTCAGAACTGCTGCAATTCAGAGTGCGAGGATGGACACTGCAGATTGGTTGCACACCCACACACAAGCACACAGCCTTGCAAAACATACCAGAAACGCAAACACCAAGTTGCCAACATACGGAACTGCACGCCCTCACAAAGAGTAAGAAACACAAAGACGCAGGCACAAAGACACAGACACAAAGACACGATTCATGGCGACACACCGACCAGCACACAACTATATCAGTGATAGATCCTACATTTGCATACGCATGCCGACATTTCTGTTGAGGTTGGCATACACAACCATCAAAACGCAATGTTCAGAGAGAATCAGCCAGGAACAGCTGCTCCCATCCTATTCTGCAGCTTACCTGAGCAAGGATATTGTGGACACCACCTCATCGTTGGGTCTAGGTGGGTGTACATGACGTTTGGGTGCTGCTCCATCAATCCCAAGGTGGTTGGACACCAATCCCAAAGTAAATGACGCCCGCAAGAGGGTGTCCAATGGTGTCCAACAAAAGGAGCTTCCAGATAGTTTAATTTTCCATGTGGTTCGTGGTTAATTTCTGTTCGAAAGGGGGGATTCTCATTTTAGGATGGACCCGGGCGGCACCACGCGCTTGTTGTGGGCTGGCCAGGTCACTACTGCGAGCGCCCACCAAGGCGCTCTTCATGGATTCATGCTTCATCAGTGGATTGCTCCTGATTTGGTTGTGTCTCAAAATTGGGAGACCCCCCAATCATGTGACGTTCCTTTTGATGTCCCATCCTGAAAAAGAGACCGTGTGAGTACACGGTTGGTACACGTTGGGTTCCAGATGCTAGGGATAGGCTCAGGGGCTTGCTCAGAGAAATCTGATTGTTGGATGGCGTTCAGTGCATCACTCGCAGCAACAAGGGAATCTGAGTTTGCAGCAGCAGCAGCAGCAGCATCAGCAGCAACAGGAGCAACAGCAGCAGTAGCTGCCGGCTGCTGCCGCTGCGGCGGTAAGACAACCAGCAATATGTGTTTCCAACTGTCACAGTTTTACGAGTATTCTGCCATCAACTGAGCTGGTTAAGATAATAGGTTCGCATAGCGAGACAGACATTCATGGCTTGGCCAGTTTCTCCGCTTGGCGAACTCGATGTTTGGGCTCTTCCTCACAGACGTGTAGATAAACTGATCTCTTCCGCGCGCGCGCGCGCCTGCGAGGCCAGGGCTGCAGCGGCTACACAGACCAGGGACTTCTACTTTCCCAGGCGGGGATAAGCAAATACCCAGAAAACACCCAACCTCCCAAAGGCGAAAAGAGAACTGGAAGGCCAAAGACCAGTTTTGCGTTTCAGCTGGCCCATGTTTGATTGCTTGTTGGAGAGTGAAGGAGCTGTGACCGAAAGACCTCCAAAGCTATCTTGGAACCTGCAAGAAGCTTCTGGAAGACCGTGCAAACTTTGTTTTGCCACATTTTGCGGTGCGGGACAGTGAGTATGCCAGTTCATCAACATAATATGTTGGCAGCCATTGTTGAGATTTGTTGTATTGCTATGTTCTATGCAAACAACCGTCGCTATGCAAGCGGTTGCACAAAGTTTGGTGCAGAATCGAGCTGTCAGTGTTTGAACTATATTTGTTTTCGACAGAACTCAAGACACCAATGCAAGTGGCCAAGTGAGACTCAAGCTGACGAGAGATTCAAGTAGCCCACTCAGCAACATGATCACAATATAGGGGATGATATTTTAAGACGGACAGAACGAGGCACTGTTGCGTGGACCCTTCAAGGGTTCGCGGTATGTGTTGTTCTTGTTTCTCTGCAAGCCATACTGCACTGCTAGTGGGCAGCTACACCTGCGAACCTTGCAACACCAATGTCCGCCTGAGGAAGGCTTCTTGACGGCAAAGCGTTTAGATAGGGATTGATTCATCAGCTGACAGAACTGTAAGTGATTACTACAACAATCTATACCTGCTGCCCCAAAAAACTGTTGTTTGATCGTTTTTCAGGAAAATGATCGAGTTGCCTTCTTGGTGTTGAAATTTCAACACTGGTGCTACAAAACCGTTCGGGCTTGCGGAGCAAACCAAACCTTGTGTTGCTTGCAGCTCTTGCTGGGAATTCATGTTTACGTTCTTTTTCATGTTTACGTTCTTTTTGCGTGATATCATGGGCCGTGCCTAGCCTAGGATTCGGTGTTGGAAATACTATGCGTAAAGCGTTTAGAACCCGTTTGCAAACCGTTCACGAACCGATCGCATGTCGTGCATGTTACATAAAACTAAACATGTATGTTGCGAACTCACCTTGGTGTTCCAAACCCTTTCTGGTGCAAAAAACGATCTGGTGTTCATTGTTTTTTGCGAAATATCGTTTCTCCAAGTGGTGCTGAAAAAAACAAAGGGGCCTCAGGTAGCAGTTACCACGTTTGGCTCGTTTTGGTTTCCAGGGTCGACTTGATCGCAGCCTGAATGTATCCTGAACACCCGCTTTATTGTTTCCCAAATGGCGCTTGAGTCTCACAGGTGCTTTTCTTTAAACGGTACGGTCATGGGGGCTTCGTGTCAGAGTGCTTTGCCCCATTGCAACAGCCCAGAGTCGAACGAAGGCAGAGCCACAATGACGGCAGCTTTAGTATGGATGCTTTGAGCAAGCCTATCACCTTTTTTACATAAGGATCATCACGATCGGAGTTGTTGGCTGCTTGGGTATCTGGTTCACTGAGTATGATGTACAGACCATGCAACATTGGCATCTGATTAGAGGAGAGTGACTGTGCTGAGCAGGTGCGGGTATATTTTGGTTAGCACAAGTCCCCTCACCCGAACCACTATCTATTTGCATGGCTTCAAAGACATGTTGATCTGACGTAACATGCAGGTTGTTTCGAGATACCAATTCTGTTCAGCTCGACCTTGCGTCAGGAAGCACTGGTTCCCCTGGCGCGTGCGCCTTGTTCGTCAGCGACAGGCAGGGGCCTCTCGGAACGCCGATCAAAGCAAGGGCTGGTTTTTTGGAACCGTCCTGCCCTTCTTGGTTCGTCTCAGTTGGGTCAGTGGCGCCTTTTGTTGGGATGCCTTTTTTTACCATGGCCACTGGGCATTCGAGTCATGTGTGACTCAAGAGGGCCAGCCATAGATTGGTCTAGTTTTCTTTTCCACGCCACTGGTGACCCATATCTAGGAAGCACACATTGATTCGCAGCTCCAAACCGGCCAAGAAGCCGGCTTGAATTGGAAGGCTGAAGCGTGGATCGACTCTTGTAGTATGCTGTGGGCGTGTAATGTTTGGGAAGTGTACTTGATCACATGAGGCACAACCAAAACCCGGGTGATGAAGGTTAGTAAGGAATCCCAATCAATTGTTTAAGTGGTTCTGGATAGAATATGTTCATGACAGGTTTTGATTGTGACTCACATCACCGGAGTTAGGTGTTTGAGCTGCCAGGAAAATAGTTCGCGTTGATCGTGCGCAGTTTGCCGGGCGTGCGTTCCAACCTGAGCACCAGCTCGCATTGTCTTTGGTGCATATTGCTCGGATGTTAGGACTTGAACCTTTTGCCAACTAATGGGTTTTCCGTATTAAACCACTAAAAGTTAGTCACTTTTAGCAGGGGAGCAGAAAGCAACGGGCAGCAGAAAGCAACCGAGTTGTGAATGCTGAAGTACCCCTCTTTGACTTCTGGAAGGCCGGCCTTTGGGAGTTGTTTCTTCCCGCTTGTTTGTGCGTGATGTGTGAGTGGGTTTCATGTCCCAAAACAAGAGTAAACCACATGGTTTTTGCAGTGTCACAGTCTTTTCTTGGCATTCGCTTTACAGCTAGATGAAAGTAGATGGCACACCCCGCCCATGTTGGGTTTTTATCATCCTCTTGACTTGTCCACGGAAGTCGTGTTGTGCCATTCACCTCGGTGCTCCCAGAAGGCCACTGTGAATGGAAGCAAATCTTCCAAAATCCTGGAAGCGAGCTTCTGCGGAGTCGCCCGACGGGGGGGAGAAAACATCAACCAAAGCTTTATGGTGCGACAAGTAGGGAGCGACCTTCCGGGCATTTGGGAATAAACTCAGGGGTCCCCTTCAAGAAAATCGACAACAAACACATGTTTTTGTTAGCAGGAAACCACAAGAACACCGAATAAATGGGGCTCATTTTCCAGTTCTCGTTCCCTGCCGAACACGAACCAGCTTCAGAAAAAAAGGCCTCCTCGCCTTTCGGCTGGGCTCGCACTCGCCCGCCGGTGAGCCCAGGCGGCTTTGAGGGCCAAGCGCCACATTTGGCCGCGGCGACAGGATCCAGAGGAGGCGGACGAGGGAGCTTTTGATTGTTGAAGTTTGTTGGCCAAAACACGAACCCTTGTCGGTTTTTTCTGAGAATTTATTTGCTTAAGTTGTTGGTTTTGAAAAAGAGACACAAATCCTGGTTGGTTTTACTGGGAAATTCTCACCCCACGTATTCGTTTATCGCCAGGGGCTGAAGCAAAAATTCGGAAGGCGGGAGGTCCTGGAAACGGGATCGGGATCAGGTCACCCGTCAGGTTCTTGGCGAGCCACCGTGGTGGGGTTTGGGTGTGGAGGTGAAGCCCCGGAAATTTGTAGAGGGTGCAAGTGGAAACTTCTCCTGGCGGGTGGGATTGGGATTGGCGGAACTCCATATCGTGGGAAACCACTCCGGAAGAACTCCAAACCAATCCAAACCACCAATCAGAGGGAAGCTGAGGCTTCCCTTTGGGTGCTTTGGATTGGTGGTTTGGCGGTTTAAATGGATGCCAATTCTCTGGGCTACCTGACTTGTGGGGTGCCGTTTGTTTTTGGGGTACTCTTTCTCCCGTTTTTGGCAGACACCAAGATGGTGCACCCTTTTGGTTGGTATTTAAAGGGGAGCCAAAATATGTTTTTCCATTTAGGAGACAAACTCCTATTTGCAAAACATCCGTGGAAGAGATGCTTTATCCGAGGTGGGGCTTGCTTTTGTTGAGGACACCCATTCGTTTCGGTTTTGTTGATAGCAAAACAAATGGGAAGCCGCCCTTTAGACCCTGAGTCTGAGACAACAAAGACTGACAGAAATGTCTTCGTCAATGACAGCAACTCACACATGACAGTAAACCACTGCCCGAAGGGTCCATCGTTTTGTGAAACACAAACCCAGGGGGGTCTTTTTGCCACCTTTTGTGAGAAAATTGGCGACCCCCTTAAAAAGGAATCCTTCACTACGAGGGGATCGAACAATTTTCAGGTGGCCAAAAGCCCCCCCTGCACAAACCTGAGTGAGTTTCAGCTGTTTTGATCTCTGTCTCGCTTGGGGTTTTGGGCAGGCGCCCATCTTCGGTGACAAGGAGGGGGATGTCCTGTCCTTCAGGGAAGAGGCGCGCTGGAGGGTTGAGGGGCGTTGGAGGCAAGGGCTCGGTGGAGCAATTCATTCTGTGGCACTTGACCAGGACGGAGACAACTGAATATTCTATTTATTCAGTGTGTATGAGTGAGCCCCAGCGCGGGTTGGCTTGACATGCCTTTCTTCAGGCTTGTGTAGTGGCTTCCCTCGAGTATGCATTTACTGCAATGGACTATTTTGCTGCATTTCATATTTCATATTGGTTTGTCCGCATAGCTAGAATGCTACAAACTTGGGTTCATGGTCACTGAGGGGCAATGGCTAGTTCGTGGCCACCAGTCACCCAAGAATGCAGGCAAGCAAGTGACCAAGGCTCCATGGATCAGCTCGACCTGCAGTTTCACTGCCGTCTCAAAACGGGCGCTCCTGACTTGATGTATGTCTGACTCTGTATTAGACATGTCATTCTTGTCTCACCTGTCCGGCCTTTGAGGAAGTTCGGATCAGCGTGAAGAAGCTGGAGCACTATGCCAAGATCATGAAGCACAAGCAGATCCAGGACGAGGGAGCCTGCGAGTCCCAATGGCACACCCTGAGAGCCATATCGACCCTTTCCCTTTGTAGGAGGGAATGGCTTTAAGTGGCAGATTGGCACTTTAGCACTCCGAAGTGATGCAGCCCAGTTGCAAATCCTGCAAGGTTAAGGACTTGCCCTGGACAAAGCCAAAGCAATTCCAAGACCTTTCCCACATGAAAAACTCTTTGGGCGGCAAGCACATGCATGGTGGGACCTGTTTTTCTTGTTGCAGCTGGGTCCATGAGCTTTGGAAATCGTCGCGTAGAGATCCCTCATGGAGGAAAATCACAAAGGGAAGATGTCCGTTGTGACCCAGGTCATGGCATGCAAGGGAAACGCCAGGTGAAACGAGCAAAGAACGTTTAGCTCGGGTGTCAAAGACCTTGTCCCTGATTCGCAGCCTCATCCAATGTCTGTCTTTGAAGGGCGAAAGCGAGGGCCATGCATGAAAACACGCAACCAGCGTAGTTTTGGTGCCCTTAAACCAAGGGCACTTGCCGTGCTTTTGCGTCAAGGCCACTTAAGGCAGTGTTGTGCCCTAAGTGACCCTTTGATTCGTTTGCTAAGTGCCCCTTTTGGCTTGATGGGGTTGGGATCCTGTTGAAATCGAACAGCTACCCGTGTCGAAGTGTGACAACTGCCAGGGGCCGGCCGACTCGCGGTTTGGGAGTGTCAAAGCGTGTCATTTGAGTGTCAGTGGGGTGCAATCGAGGTCACTTACCCCCTGAAAAGGTCGCTTACGGTAGTGTCGCTCGATTTGCCCGGACTGCAGGGTAGCGTCGCCCCCCCCTCCCCCCTTGAGTGTCATTCGCATTCACGTGTCGCTGCGGCTCGAGTCTATTTGCCCGGACTGGGGAGAGATTTGCTGGGGAGGGCAACCCTGAAGGTCTAAGCGGCCTGTAAATGACTTAAGTGACCCCTTTGATTTAGGACTAAGTGACTAAGTTACAGAAAAGAAACGTGGAATGCATATTAATATACAGCGGACAGACGGGCTCCCATCAGATGTGGCACCAGAGGATGTTGCGATTTACTGGTCATGCTTTTCCCGCACCTTGTTTGTCATTTATCAGTTGGCTGCTTCCCTTTCAAGGGGTGTGTGTATTTCTGTTGGTACCCAGACCTCCACTGCTGAGCCCTCCGGTTCTCGCTATCGAGAGGATGCCTACGACTGGGTGGACTCCTTGTCCCGGATGAAGTCGGAGGTGATCCTTAAGCTGCTGGAGAAGGCGAATGTGACTCCCTCGACACGACTCGCTCAGAAGAGTCGAGTCGAGAATTCGCTCGGGCTCGCGCTTGAGCTTACTCACTCACTCACTCACTTCACTCACCCACCCACCCACCCACCCACCCACCCACTCACTCACTCACTCACTCAGACGGAAAGATCGAGTAAAATTGAACTCGCTTGGGTTCACTGCGCTTGAGTCGAGGGAAACTTACCTGGGATCAAGTCCCTTGTGAGTAGTTCAGGTGGTTCGGCGATTGTCATAGCTCACTTCCTGAGTTCCCGGAGATTCCACTTTTTGGGAAGACCACTTTAGAGGCAGCCTAGAAGGTTGATCTACTTTTTTTTTGGACCATGCACGGAGCATAACTCACTTAGATTGATAAGGGACAGTCCCAAGAAGTAGAGGCCAAAGCTGGTCCTTGGGGAAAGAACCTTGCGAGCTCATAGCAAGGCGCTTCTGACCACATCTCACGCGAAGGTTGCTTGTTTTTCCAGCTTGGCGCATGATCATCCGCTCATATATGTGTTTTGCATATAACAGTCCGCCTTTGACGCCAAGAAGCCGGCAGCCAGCTTTTTAACGAACTGGGCAAAGCTGAGGCAACTGTGGCTTGCCATTCTTTTTCATCGTCCCAAAAGCCGGAAGTTGACCTGGGCGACATTCCCTCGAAAGTATGTGGCACTTAGGCTCATTCCCAAACCCCAAGAACCTATGTCCTCAGCTTTAATCAATGACTTGGCAACTTGCCACCACAGCTTCTCGCGTCTTGGGCATGTCTTAAATCGGACTTGACTATAGTATTTCGTTCTCCACCATAGCTATCTGATCTACAGGTGCTCTGTGGGTGTGTGTTTTGTTTCCCTGCTTTCCGATGGCAGACAAAACCACTGGGTCTGGGAAGGGCTGCTTCTTTGAGGAGAAGCCTCAGGGATGGGGGAGACCCTCTAGTTGAAGAAGACAATTTGCACCTGAATTGAATAAGTATTCTAAAAAGTCTTTGATATTATCTTCCTCTGAAGAAGAAAAAGAGGTGAAACCGGAATAACAATCAAAACACAAAGATAGATATACATATATATATATATATATTTTAAGTAAGTCTTAGGACATTTCAGATAACGCGTTGGCCGACGTCCGTTCGGCTTTTTTTTGCAGGCCATGGAGGAGTGCAGGGATCGGCCCAAGCCTTGGGCGGGGGCGAGAGCCATGGTGGGGCGGGGGGCGGGGGGTCCAACCTCGAAGACAAACGAAAAGGAAATCCGAAGTCATACCCTCATACCCACATACCCACATGGTCCTTAGTTTTCCGAGGGTTTGTTTCCCACCTTAAAAATGGGTCCCGGACCCTCCTCTATCGGTCGACCAGGATGTCCTTTCGCCCCACCCCAAACAAACAGATCGTTTTCCTCCAACTGGGGGATCGTTTTCTGGGGTCTTCTATGGAGGTTGGCCCTCCCCCACGCCCGGCTTCGGCCGCTTCGATCCGAGGCGTGGCTGGGATTTGGGGCGGACCTACGTGGTGGACCCTCAGCCGGGCCGCGGGCCGCGGCCCGAGTCGGCCAGCCGGAACCACTCGGGTGGAAAGCTCGTGGTGTTTTTTGTTTGTTCTTTGGGCATGGGAAAAAAAAATCCACCAGGAGTTTTTTGTTTTTTTCTTTGGGTATGGGTTCTTTCAAATTCAACCCACCAGGAGTTGGACCGCAGGTCTTTGGTTCCATTTATCAGGGTTGCATTTTCGGTACGGGTGGGATGCTCGGTCGTTGCCGTTTTTTTTTGCAAAAAAAGTGCCCCGCTTTTGGGTCATGAGGGTCATTTTTGTCCAAGGATCAGAAGGAGATTCCAGGCATATGTTGTTTTTGTTGGGTTTGATTTTGCCTCCAAAAGGAGTACCGAAATCCATTTTGGGCGAGGCACAAGAAGGAACACCTGGAGTCTCGGGCGCTTCTTGTTCTTTTTTCCCCAGAGACATGTATCACTGGCCACTGGGGGAGTAGACATGCAGCCTTTGCAATTCAATTGTAGACGAATCTTGATACACTGTCGGGGCATCCTTTGAGAATAATTTGTTCTTTAATGCCAACCTGAATCGAAGCTGAACCTCATATGTTTTCCTGGTTTTCGTGGGTAGGTGTTGAACAAGGGAAGTGCGGATTGGTTGTGCCCTAATAGGGGCTGTCAGAAGGTTTAGTATTGGGTGAATCAAAAACAACTACAGGGGTCGATGTGACTTTGCGGATATTTGCCTCAAACAGCATGCTTATGAATAGAGGCGGATACTTCACTACAGGGAGGTGTTCATGTAGGTTGCCGGTGGGGAAACCATGTGCAAATTTTAGGACTTGCGCACCAAAAAGTGGAAGCCTTCGTTTGTCCTGGTGGCTATGTTGCATTGGTAACACCTGCCCTTTCTTTAATGTGTTGGAAGCTCACTGCCAAAAATTGGAAACTCGTGGCAGCCGATTTACACCTTGCTACATGCACTGGACATGGGCAGGGATGGTTTTCACTCCCTGAATTCCTGAACCCAATTCTTTAGAATCATACCTTCGGAGTTATGTCAAAGAGTGGTGAAGATCAAGCTTCGACTTTGTTCGGCCAACCTCAAGTGAGTGGTTGAGCTTGATTTCATGTCCGCACCATACTTTTTCGGAACCGAGCCTCACTTCGTTCCTTGAAAAACGTCTCCGAGACAACCGGCCGGTGGCATGCGCTCTCAAGGCACTACGTCAAGAGCCTGCGGAAGCACTCCAGAGGCAGGTACGGCATCATGAAGGCACCCAGGCCGGAGAGGGAGCCCTTGGCCATTTGGACTTCGAGTTGGCGATTCGGCAACGGATCTTTAGTTTGTTTTTGTTTGTGTGTGTGTGTTTTTAGTTGGAAAATGACGGGTTAACTTTTGAACCCACAGAAAGTTCTACTTTTTGCAGAGGGGTCAACAGCAACCAAGTTCAAAACGCGGTACCTGAAGTCTCCATGGCCCTTTGCAAATGCGGTCATGGCTCCTTTATTTTCAGGAGTGACCCCATAATACAAAGGGTCAGGGAGACTCCAGGTACGAGAGTCCAACGTGTCAGCACTCAATCTTTTGTAGCCTATTCTAATGGCCTGGCGCGCACGCCGCCCTGGCAGGAACAACTTCATTATCCGAGTCCGGCAGATGCCTTTGGAGGTGCCTCGACTTGCTTCAGCGCGCGTCGGCAAATGATCCATGATATGCAGTTAGTTTTGACAACAACTTCTTGCTTGACAACTTCCCTAGCATATTATTTGCACTCTGGAACCTGCGGCCTTGGGGATTTGCGGAATCGTGGTGCGTCAACCAGTCCGTCCAAGTTGCCGGTTCGCCCAGAAGTTTTTGCGGTGTGATTCTATGGGGGAGCTTGAGACCTGCATTGCTGACAAAAAGTCCCTAGAACCTGAAAGGCAGAAGCGCCTCATGTGCCCAAGACAAACACATGCTATTTGTCTGCACAGCCGGTGGAACACGCTGTGGGGTTCCTGGCATGATGGGCATTTGAGCTGCTGATTTGCACACTGGTGATTCGCCGAACTGTTTCGCCAACGTTTTGCAACAGGGGGTCCCCATAAACCTCAACATGGCCGAGAGCAAAAACAAACGGGAAAACGTGGCCAAGCTAAAGGAAGCACGGCGGGAGATATGGAGTGATGCCACCTTCCCCCATGATTTACAAAGTCTTTGTACGGCCAAACTTTTTCCGATGGATCAACCCTGCCAGGAGTGGTTCCACCGGATCTTCATTTACAACAAGGCGCGCCTCAGACATGCGGGGGGAGCTTTGACATGTTTCCAGCCCCCAGCTGCATAAGCAGGCCGCAGTATGAGGCCCTACGACTGGTGGCGTTGATGGATGTATGGGCATGGGCCTTCTTGCGTCTTTCGTTTGTTTTGGTGTAATATGAATTCCGGGAATGTGCTTGATGTCTTTCCACTGTGGGACCTGGGAAGCTGCCTTGCGTGAATGTTGTGCTATTGGGAAGGTGTGCCAGAGGTATGACAGAAGTCGGCAGTCCCCACAACTCTGGTTGTTTTGCGTCGCTTTTTGTCGCACGGCTCTGTATTCAGATTCTACATTAGGAGGCAGGGAAGGATCCCTTAGCCCAATTTGTCCGATCCGGCTTAGCATTGGGGGCCCGCTGCGTTTTGACACATTTACATTGAGTTGGTCCCTGCATAGATGCAGCATGACGGCAGGTCAAGCATCGAAGTGCACCAAGAGACATTCAAAGACCCAGAGGTCCTTGTGGCACCTTTTGGTTTGCCTTACGTGCGCGAACCCACAAATGTCCCTTGCGCTGTGTCTACTGGGGAAGATGACGTCCACCAAAAGAACAGGCCCAAGTAAAAGTCATGGTTACCCCACAAAACCTCTGTAAATGGAACCAAGTCTTCCATCCCAGACTCCTGGGAGCTTCAATGGAATCGTTTGTGGGAAGAGAGCAAACATCAACCAAAACTTGCTGGTGCTCAGGTAATGACGGGATTTGGGAATGAACGGGGTCCCCTTAAACTTGCTGCTTGCTGTTGCGCAGCAGGAAATGTGGGAATGAACCTGAGAATTCCCTCAAAGGAAACCATAAGGGATGGTTTATTCCGGGGTCATTCCATTTCTCATTCCCTGCCTATCGCAGCAGCAAGCAAAGGAACCCACCAAACTTGGATGTCGAAATTTTGCCTTCCATTTGTTTGAGAATACGTTTTATTTTCCCCTGTTGGTTTTAAAGGGAAGCTATCACTACTGAACATATGTTTACTTTTTCCAAGGGGGCGAAAACGGAAATGGAAGATGCATCGATCCAACTGCTGGGAGGTGCCCCGAAGCCTCTCGGGAGACATGCGCTTAGCCTTGCACCAGAAGCGTGTGGGGCGGCCAAGAGGGGAGTCGATCGGCGTTGGCGCGCTCAAAAGCGCGCGTTTGCCCGGGCGGTGCGTTTCTTTTTTGTGGGGGTTGAATGATCCCCGCCCGGGACTTTGTATTGGGGGGGTTGCGCTCCTGGCAACCAAAGGGACAATACACATTGTTGGGGTTCACCCGGTTGGAGACATCACGTTATTGTCGAGAATGAGGATCTTTTGGGGTCGGTTCGAAGGGATAGCAAAGTGATACCCAGCATTTGCAAGGGCTTGCCTAAAGAATCAGGGATACCCCGTTTTTGACCTGGATTTTTTAGGGAAACTGTCAATTAGGAGCCAGGCAAAGAGCCCAGTGCCATTTTTGGGGTGAGGTTGAAGCTGGCTGAAGGCTCATTGGCAGTGTTGTGAGCTCGATGTGCCTTTGGGCTGTTCAACTAAGTCAGCCACGTCCTCAAATATCTTGGGTAGTTGAAGGTTAGTGAGGGATACTCCCAGCCATAAATGGGAACTGCCGCCTTTTGAATTCCTTACATGGTTCTGGGCAGACCATTTTGATACCAGGTTTTGATTATGACTCGACCTTTGAGGTCAGCCCGCAGATGCAGAAGGAGTGGTCGCCATACCTCCATGCCAACTCCCGGCTTTTTCACCGCAAGGACTCGACGGATGGCGGGGCAACTTGTGCAGACATTACCCTGGTGAGGGTGCCTTGCTTAGATCTATGATCTAATTCACGCCACCAAAATGCGACTCACCACCATCTCTTTCATTCAACTCGGAGTTTTCTGCCGTTCTCAAGCAAGCAAGCAAGCAAGCAAGCAAGCAAGCAAGCAAGCAAGCAAGCATCTACTTGGCTTTGCGCCCAGTGGGCCTACCTAGAAGGAGCGGGTCTTGCTTGCTCGCCAGGAGCTGAAGTGGCTGGACAGCACTCGGCAGTTCGACTACTATCAGGCGCCGGTATTTTTTGCAGATCTTTTGGCTTGTCTAGGTTTCCCAGTGCCCTTTTTTGGGGTTTTGGGTTCCCCTACTAAAATAGACAAAACCGAAAAAAGAAACGGTGCCAGCTTATTCCAGCCTCTCTACTGGAGGACCTGGTTGTGCCGCTTGCTCGGGCCCCTCGTTTTCCGAGCCGTGACCACGGTGTTGTTTGTCCCGTCACGGAGAAGCGCAGCGGGGATGCTCCGGGAAAAACTTTGGGAAGCGAAGGGATCATCCAAACGGTATTTGTGAACCCCCGCAAAAAGGGTGATTTCCGCTCGGTTTCCCTTTAAAACAACCACCAAAAGGATATCCTCGAACAAGACACACCCGTTTGGTGCAACGCTTCAATCCAAAGCTAGCCCTTGCCACTAGAGATGAAGCGACGGAGCAAGCATCGAGCCCTGTTAAGGGCTGTGAAGGATGGTCAGCCAGCTGCCCCGCCATGCTGAAGCCAAACACAGATCATCAAGGAGACTGCCCCCAAGGTCCAATACATTGAGACTGGGTTATAGTTGAGGTATATATGTTTGACAAGCTTGAGACGTTTCGCAGCGGCGAAGATACATAGACAATTGTCCCATGGTTGCTGAACTTCAGATATGGGGGTTGACAAAAGGTCCTTGCAAGAGGCTATGAATTCGGTGACCATGGGTGTTGGTTTAAGGCGATCAACTGCCATATGTCTGCAGCCTTCAAACCTTGCGGACTTGCTCGCGCGGACTCTTTACCCTTCAATCTGGTGTTTGTCGAGAAAGACGCAATAGCATACTCGACGCCTTTGAAGGCTATGATATGTTCCAAAGAAGCAGTGGCAAGACGACTTGTTTGAACTTCTCAGTTGAATGTTCTCCCACATCAGATGCCTTGCTTGAGATGCCACGAGTTGTCGGCCAGAGTCAAATGGATTTAGACTCTAAGATGTCCTCAATAATTTTGTTGAGATGACCAATTTCATTCCCAACCAAACGAATGCTAAGCTTGGTTTGCCATTGGACGTTAAGCGTCCCGCATGCAGGTTCGACGAGAATGGATCGAGAAGTACAAGGCAGCATTTGCATGTCTACGGCTGACAGGCATGTGTTGTATATGTTAGGCAGCATTTGCATGTCTACGGGTGACAGGCACGTCTTGCATATATGTATATATATGCATATATATATATATATGCTATATATATATGCTATGTATATATGCTATATATATATATACAATATGTTTTTTAGTTTTGCTGGCTGCAGTTGTTTGGTCCGGCGCATTTGACTGAAAATTCAAAGCTAGGCAAAGAAAGTTTGAGGCTCGTAACCAAGAGCACACATCGATTGGTATTACTTGGCCCAGTGCAGAGCTGAATTTATCTCGCTAGCACGAATACATCGCCGCAAATATTGCGAAACAGAGCTTGGCTGCCAAGCGTTCGCAACAGGATTTGCCACAATTATGTGTAAAGGTCTGTCGATCGATGCTCAAGTCGAGCCTTGTCACCCGGTGCTTGACGAAATCCGGGCATCAAGTCGATGGAAGCTCCAACATTGTGTGATTCACTCCCACTTCGTGTCATTCAATGAATGCACCGAGCGTGGAATACGCACGGGAGCCGTCAAAATTGGTTCCAGATTGCGCAGGAAAATCTAGGTAGCATCTCATTTCGGAGCCCGGTGGTGTGACATGCGAGGCGCCTATCCAAAGAGGCTATATAGAGCCAGGAGAAGCTACGTGTTACTCTGTGCGTGCAGACTTTTTGCTACCAAGAGTGCATCTCAAGTATTGCAGTCTTTTGGGTACGCTCCTTCTTTCAGGTATATGTCTGGTGCTAGAACGCCTGCTTTGGTTCTGCCCGGGAGTTCAGCAGCTGGTTTGAAGATGTTTGAGCCGACAAATGTCCCTCCAACAGGGCGGTGCTTCAACATCCATTCTGCCAATAGCCCATGCTAACCTTCAAGGATCTGCAATTCCTCAAAAACTTGTACCAAAGAGCAAAGATGCAACAGTCAGGGGTCTTTCAAGTTGACTCATGATTGCACCCGGGAATCACTCTCGAAGGATCCTGTATGCTTCGCGACATGTTACGCGATTCAGGGTGTCTTGTGCTACGTAAGCGTTTGCTGGCGCTTGGTCCCTTCCTCGATTGCGGACGTTTTCGTTGGCCCTGTAGCGAACGGCGCCCGAGTTTGCAGAGCTGTCCGCAACCTAAAAGTGTCCTTTTTGGTTGATTTTGCTAGACACATAGATGGCCCTGGTTTACCTGGTGGTTTTAATCATGTACCAGGCCATCTATTTATTTCCCCTGAAAGGACACCTATGCCTACAACCCCTCCACCCCAACTCACCTTTTGGCGCTCCCAAGCTCCTTCCCAAACTGCAGCACCGAGAAGCGGGCCAAGAGCCAGGGAACCAAGCGGAAGAAACTTGAGCAAGAGCATATTCTCATGGGGGCTGGGGGGGAGGGAAGGGGGGGGGGGGAGCCCAAATAAGCCCTAAATGAGCCCCGGCTTATTTGGGCTCCCTCCCCCCCCCCTCCCTCCTCCTCCCTCCCTCCCTCCCTCCCTCCCTCCCTCCCTCCCTCCCTCCCTCCCTCCCTCCCAGCCCCCATGATATTCAACCTAGTTTCAAGCAATACATCAACACACAAAGGTGCAACAAAAACTGTCACCAGAAAGGCCTTGCTTTCGCGGTGGCTGAAACCGTAGCAACTCTGTGGCGCAAACCGGCACAGCGAAATCATTACGGGAACGCATTTCGCCCAGCCTCCCAGCCTCCATCAGCGGCAGATTTGGACAGTTTTCAAGAATTCTTCGGATGACCTTGGGCCTTTCGAGAGTTTGTGAGGGAGACAGGTCTCCTGTTATCTGATGGCACTAGTCTTATACCAGGGCAACCCCTCCATTTTACGCCCTTTTCAGGCTGGTTTGGATGGAACATCTGATGGCACGAGTTTATGCCCCCAGGGAAACCCCTCCATTCCACGGCCGAAGCACCGGGGAACCGCCGAGAGCTCGAGGCGAATTTGCTGCGGTCCTCCACGGAGGCAAGGGAGGCCCGGGGCCTGCCGCCGCTGCCCATGGCGGAGTGAGATCCATCGAGCGGAGAAAAGGAGCGAGACGACACGGAGCGCCTCGCGCAGGCTGCGATGCGGGGGGGATGCGATGCGGCGGGATGCGACGCGGGGAGAGTCTGGCGGGGATTGCAATGGCGAGGGTTTTGGCCAAGAGGCCGGATGCTGGCGGAATGTGTCCCATGTGGCGGTTTTCGGGCACGGACCGGATGGTTGCAATCTCAGGCGTCCATGTGAAAAGTCAGAAAAAGAAGAAACAAAACAATCGGGACTGGGCAGGGTTGGGATGGAAGGTTTTGAGACAACCGAGCGCGGACGGAATACCAGTCATGTCAGGAATCTCCATGTTCGCTCTTGCCCAGTCAAGCGAGGAGGTGAGGCTATGTTCAACTGGCAGGTCTGTGTGTTGTGTCAGGCACAGGTTGCAAGCGAATTGTTTGATGTAGAGATGCTTAGACAAAGACTGTGCAGCTATCCTGAACTGAACGTCCGGAAACTTATTGGGTTTCTTGCAACTATCCAAATACACCGCTTGCTTTCCATTGCTCGGCTTCAAATTATTCGATCGCTGTTGCCAGAGTTTTGGTTTGCAAGCTTGCCAAGGCGAAACTTGCCTGTCCCCACCGCCTAAGTTTTTCTTTTCGCGCGTGTGCGGCCGGCAATCAAGCAGGCCACTGGTCTGAGCCTCGGCCAGGTGAATTGGATGGCCAAGGCGGAGCACGAGTACATCCCCAACTTCAAGGCAATGCCTTCACCGATTTGGTTGTGGGTCAAAACCAACGGTACCATTTTGGGGTAGGTGAATTCACCACCCATTTTAGAACCTATTTTAGTGGGGATTGGGATGTTCACTGGGGGTATGGGCTCTTGACACATGGCCATTTCACAGCTCGGTTCTCTCACACAACAAAGACATGCAGGGAGCTGTTGTCGGCTATACAAAGACAGCGGGTACTACTCAATGGATCACCCAAAAGCACGACATGTTTGCTTTCCCAGCGATTTGAGGGCCCCGGGTGTGCTTGAGTTGGAACCTTTGAGTCCTTAACTTGAAGCCTCGCCGGCATCTCTCTCCGACGAGAGCCTGTAGTACTGTAACGGGGCTCGTCCAGGCTTTAGATGGGTTTGAAAGGTTTTTTTTTTTTCTTGCTGGTGTTCAGTAGGGCATGTGGTACAAATTCACCCAGGGGTCCCCTTCAAGGACACCACTAGTTGGATGGTTCATTTGGGGGTCAAACCCCATCTCTTCCCTGCAGCTCGCTTTCGCCGATCGCAAGTCATTTCTCAGAAGACTTCCGATCCAACAAATTGTCCTTGCCCGGGGCCCGGAGGTCTAGTCGATGCCAACAAGCCGCTTTTAGGGCGGGCAACCTTTCTCTTTTCATGTTGCTTGATGGTGCTCAGGGAATGAGAAATGACCCCGAAAAGAACCATCCGACTGGTGAGTCAATCCTTTAAGGGGATCAAAGCCTGGCTGAATTTTCCCACACTCCCTACTGAGCACCAGCAAGTTTATCTTTGTTTCTTTTGGTTCCCTCCCGGGTCGCTCCCTTTGATTTGCTCATGCCACTTGTTTTGTTTTGCATTGCCTCCAATCTTCCCACACATTTGTTTTGGGTTCCTGGAAGCATTGCTTTTCCTCACAATGTCTCCCAACCGTTCCTCGCTTCTAGTGGACCCAGGCAAGAAGCACTTGTGCTGGTTCGGGACTTGAGAAATCCCCTTTGCGGGCTAGCGGTTTCACTGCTATTGCAGTTCCGTTCTGTCGTCGTTTACTACAACTCCCTTCGTGGGGATGGAGGGGATGTCAATTCTGGTAGTCTAATTGCCAACACAAAGTGGCTGTGGCTCAAAAACATGTACCACTATGTTTCCCTTGGGAAACAACGACTAGCACCTGGTGAACCCGAGCTGTTCACTTTTGAGCCGCATCCACGTGGTGTTCAGCCGTCAGTGATCAGACCAATGCTGCGACACGAATCTTAGCGCCCGGCACCTGGGCGGAACCACCTGTTGGTTGGTTTCAAGGGCTTTCCCCCGAAGGAAACCAGCCAGGTCAGTCCAAACAGACAGCCCCAAATGCAGCCGTAGACTTGGACATGTACTTTGGTCAGGGTTCAGTTGCTGCCAGGTATGGAAATAGTGGTACCCCAAACTGGCTGGTGTACTTTTCTTGGTGGCTCTAGCCATCCCCTTAGCCTTTAAATTTAACCTTTTTGTGTTTAGTGGTAGTTCACTAAACCCACTAAAAGCTAACCTTTTACCGGGGGATCTGAGAGCAGCCCAGATTTTGGGTTCCCGTTTCAGACACCTGCTACCAACTCCGCAGAAAGACGAGCGACGCATGCGAAGCATCAGGTTCTCCAAGTGGCATTCGACAGGCGCAGAGTTTTGCCGTGGGGTGTCACTGAGCACTGAAGCCTCACGTCACGATCTCCGGGACTCGGACTTGAGCCACCTTGTGGAAAGACGGACCATAGTGGTAAATCAAAGGTTTGGTTGCTTTGTTTGAAGCCAATCCACCCAGGAAGTGAGAAAAAAGGTTCAACTCGGTCTACTTCGAGTCCAGAACCAGAATCGCAAGCATTCTTGTTCTTGTGCATGCTTGCCCTTGTTGTCATGGCCACTGGTGGACGCACGACGGGTACTTTGCCAATGAGCAACTGACACCCTTGATTGATGCCCTGAAATTGATTGCGCCAGCAACTGACGTTTAATCATTATCTGATTCATGTGAAGTGTTGGTGAATTTGGGAGGGGACCACAAAGGAGGTAGAGGGGCCAATTTGTGCCCTTGATTTTCCCATATTTAGGTGACCAACACATTTAGTATGTTTGTTTGAAGTTACCCCTGTTTTGTGCTTTTCTGTAAGGAATCCAAAGGGACATCACCCGCGCAAAGCGGGTTACCCGAATAGGGAGATAAAAGCCATCAGATGGCCGCTTTTCATTTTCCTGATGCCTCATGCCTGCTCTCCCGAAGCATCAGCTTGGAAATGAGATGAGTGTCTTCCAATTCGTTGACTCATCTACGCCAACTCACCCAGCGGATTGCAAGCATTCAAGTTCTTTAGGTGTCCTAAGCTTGGTTTGGTTAAATATCGATGGGCTCCACTGGTTTAGATGGGTTTCAAGCCCCATGTACCAAGGAAAAGTTGGTACCCTTATTCTAAGCTTTTCACTGGAGGACTGAGTTTTGCCGCAAGGAATATCTTGTTTATTTTGCCGCAAGTGCGTTTTGAAGCGAATCAATTTCACACAACCCCCATCTATCATAGAAACCAGCTACAGGAAATTCTACAGGAAACTCGCCAAATTCCCACCAAAATCAGGGGCTTCCTGTAGAACTTCCTGTAGTTGGTTTCTTAGAATCTATTGTTCCAAAAAGGCCCACCTATGGAGCCGCGTTCCGGCCTCAGCAGCGCCCGTTCGCCAAGAGTTTCGGCTAAGGAACGGACTTCGTGGTTGGTCCAACCCAAGGAGCGGCTAAAGGAGTCTCAACAAAAAACACGTCCAGAGCTGGGTGCCAAGCCACCCATATTTTTTGTGTTTTTTAGCTTAAAGCAATCAGCGGACGGATATGTTTGCTTTGGTCCAAAAAAAAGAAAGAACACACACACACATATTGGACGGATATATGTTTGCGGCATTTCCCACGCACTTTTTTGTTCTTCTTTAAACAAAACAAAACAACTTGACACACCTCGGGCCTTGGCCGGGTGACGTTGACATTTTGCGGGTCCAGGCTCGAAATCGAGCGCAACATTGCAGTCGACCAGCTCATCCGTGCCAAGTGCACCGAAGGACTTCACTGTTGTTGGCATTTGTGTTTTAGTTTGTTTTTTGTTGGTGTTTGTGTGTTTTTTTGTTCTTTCTCCGTGTTAGTTTGTGTGTTTATGTTCATTGTTAATATGGGGCTTGCAAAAAGAAAAAAACAACAACAACAGTTGGTTGCTGCCATACCAAAGGTTGGAACGCAACCATGGCCTTTTCCTCAGTAGGATCTTCCTTCTTCTGCTTCAGGGACAGGAAGTCAAAAGGGAAGCGACTGTTTAGAGGGGTTCACATTTTTGTGGATTGCCCGCCACTCCGGTAGTTTCGGAATGATGTTGAAAGATATGGCTGTGGGTCAAGACCCTGTTGGTGAACATCAAAGTAGGTGGTACATGGGTGTTCATCCGCCCCAAAATGGAGGCATAGGTTATGACCCATGGCCATATTGAGTTCTTTTCGTGACTGACTGCAATATGGCATGACACAACCTATCTTTGGTGCATTTTGCCAAGGGATGTTAGGACTTTAGCTTTTTGCCAACTAATGGGTTTTCCGTATTAAACCACCAGAAGTTAGTCACTTTTAGCAGGGGAGCAGAAAGCAACCGAGCTATCTCGGCGATCATGAAAGCAGCTGACTGCGGGCTGGCAGGTACCAAGACAACCTGGAGTTCTTGCAGTGGATGAAGCGGCTTGGTTCGAACCAAAAATTTGGGCGTGCTTGATGATCGAGTTTGTTTCGTAAGCTGGAGCTTGTTGTAGAGGCTGGCTGCTTCGGTTGTCAAAGTGTGCGGCTGGTGCCATCGGAGACTCCCCTCTGCAACTGGAAGGTTCAACCGAAGACATTCTTCCTGCTAAGCGAGTCATCCCACTTCGCCCCACTAGGAACCCCAGCTAGGTGCCAACTGTTACCAACTTTTTTGGGGGAGGGTTCCCCTACTACAATAGACTACAGAAGAAAGTGTACCCGTATTCTAAACTCTCTACTGGAGGACATAGCCCACTAGGAACAAGTAAGTTGGGTGGCTCAGTTGGCACTTGCGATGTGGCCCTGCGCACGTCAGGTGCTACTGGGAGCGTGAGGGTGGCGCGGGGCGTCGAGATTACGATGCAGTTGGGGCGCCTCAGAGGAGGGGGAGGTTGACGCAACACAGGAGCAGCACTCTTGGCTGCTATTGGATTGAATCTTTAGACTTCAACTTTTTGGGAAATCAAGGGGTGTTCCGCTAAACCCACAAAAAGTTAAACTTTTTGCAGAGGGATCAACAGCAACCAAGTAACATATTATGTTCCCTGGGATGAAAACACAGCTTCGAGCTAGCATTGCCTTCATGCTGCTGCGAAGGCATTTGATTAGAAGGCCCACACTTGCATCATGTAGGTGTGTGTGTTGCTGAATCCCGAGTGTGAAACCTCTTTTATGCGGTGGAAGGGTGCTGACACGCCAAAGGCGCAAAGCCCGGGAATCGTCATTTGCTGTTGTCCCTTTGGACAATGAAAGAGGGATTGCCACTCATAAGCATTTCGTAGACAAACCGCTACCGTTCTTACCAGTTGGCTCTCTGAGCAGTTGTTTGGAGAAAAGCTTGCCTTGCAAATGTTTGATTTAAGGAAAGACCAGGGTGGGAAAGGAAGCTGTGACTGCAGCGGCTTTGCAACAGGCTGCCTGTCAAGAGGTTTTTTGGCAGCGCCGAAGGCGTAGACATGTAGGCAACCGGCTGAGTGGTTCCCCGACGTCCAGTTCGTTGGGTTTTTAGCTTTTGATAGCGGTAGTTTCCACGAAACCAATGCAGGAAATCTGGGAAGAGCCAAGGAGTGATTTGGTTAGAAGAAAAGCCGCGGATGCATGAGTGTGGCCTTGTGGATGTCTTTCTCGGATTTGCGGTAACGAAAATCACATGGCCTCTATGGCCGATCAAGGGGCAACTGGGGAGCCTAGAGTTTCTCTTGGCAGGGCTTGTTCAGCTATACGATTACAAGGAGTGTTTACGCTTTATCCTGAGGCTGAAGGACGCAACAGCAGTACATAATGTTGTTTGCGCCTGTGGAGTGTTTGCCGGCTCAACAGGTCTGAAAACCTGAAACAGCTGTGTTGTGCCTAAGAAGCTGAGACCAACAGTTATTTGTTGTAGTGAGTCAAAGTTAGATATCTGGTTCCTTGCATGAACAACTTCAGTTCTTAGTTGGATAGATGATTGCAGGCATCCCAAGTCAGTCCAAGATGCCCTATGGTACCGAACTTAGTGCAAGAGCCTTGGGAGCTCGCTACTTCAAATCTGTGAGTATATCTAATTCGCTTCTGACAGGGACGGTTTAGACGTGACATACAGACTCCCAGGATTGAACTGACGTATGGAGACTGTTTCCTGCTTGTCTTGCTCCATAGGCGCTTTCGAATCAGTGAATTCACAATACTGTAGCCCGGAGCCAGGGCAAACCATCAGTTTGTTCAGACCCAAGGGAACGCAACGCTGGCCTAAGCGGGGCTTACTGCTTTGCATGGATTCACTCTCAGCTTGTTGGCTCCTTGAGCCAGAAGTGAGCCAATACAGCTGCCCCAACAGCAAGCAACTCGCCAAGCGAGGAAGCACGACAAGCGCAGGCGGCGAATGTGGCCAGGTCGCAGAAAGATGACAAGTAAAGCAAGAGAAGACACATTGTGATTTTTGGCACAGGATCCAAAGTCGCGCCCCAAAACCGTAGCTCTTTCTCAGGTCGCTGTGCGGGAGGGCAAGCCGCTGCCCACTTGGGTGCCCTTCGGGGGAAGGGGGGCAGCCCGGTGTGTCAGTTGTTGAGGCTACCTTGTTGAGGGCCAGCGTTGCCCCAAAGAACACAGTTGCGAAGAAGAGTGTGTGCTTGTGTGTTTGTTTGTGTGTGTGTGTTTTGAGGGTACCCCTGTTTCAATCCTAGGAACACCAACAGGAAACAACACCCCCATTTGCAGGGGGTGTCCCCCTGAAAAACAGACCCACCCCGGTGCCTTCGCCATGCGATGTTTGAAGGCCAGTGCCAAACGGTCACGCCTGCCAGGGGATAAACTCAGATATGTCCTGCATGGATTGATAAGATCCGGGTTGTCGGAGGGCCATTTGTTTAAAAGAACAATATATGTGTTTGTTTTTGAAGTATTTCTGGACCCCGTGTTTTCATGGACTTTGCCAACAATTCCAGGAAGATGAGGCCTGGAATTCTTTCTGAAAGCCAATTCTGTGCAGGCTGAGCATGGCCCCTCGATCAAGGATGCACGTTTGGACACGAGATGCAAACTATGCCAAGTGGGCACACCCTTGGCTCTTAAACATAAGTCAAGAAGTACGTGCGCCTGTGTGTGTGTGTGTATGTACATGCTTCAGAGTGTGTGTGTGTGTGTGTGTGTGGGTGTGGGTGTTTTTCTGTGTGGGTGTGGGTGTGGGTGTGGGTGTGGGTGTGGGTGTGGGTGTTGCTGTGTGGTGGAGACTAAATGCACTTCACATGGCTGTGTCTCAAATAAATGTACCAAACTGGCACCTTGATAAATGGAATCAAAGACTGAAACCTGCGTATCCCTAGCTGTTTAAGCTTTTTTAATTTTGAGCCACACCCACCGGAAATCGATGTTTGGTCTGCCAGGCAAAGCCTTTGAATGTGTTTGGAGGACGAGGCGCGCCGAGTTGCTTAGTCAAACCCAATGCTCAACCGAGTTGTTCAGTCACACCCTAAACAAACCCCTTGTCCACTTTGAGTTGGGTTCTCCAATAAAACGTAATACCCCCCCTCCACAAAGGCCCGATAAAACGTATAGTAATTCTTCCCCCCTCCAGAAAGGCCCTTTTTGACAAAAACAAATCTAGCTCAACCGTGAGTAGCGGACACACAAACATGGGCCCGGCGGACCATCCTTGTTTTGTGAATTGACTTTGACATGTATTAGAATTATGAGCTAAGGAGTTGTGTTTCCTTGGAGTTGAGGAGTGCTTGCATTTATGCAAAGTTTCCTGATCGCAGCTTGTTTTTACATGTGTGCAGCCACATCTCGAGACGCAGCAAACTCACACATGGTGAACATAAATTTGTGGCATCCCCTACTGTGGGGAGAATAATTCTTTTTTTTTATCCTCCTGGGTCGTTTCCCAGGACACGTGAAGACCACCCGATTTTTCATCTATCACATTAGTGGGATAATATATGGTTAATAACATGGCAAGAATCAGGCGCCTGTGAAGGAGGAAAGACCTGCTGAACTCCAGAAACATGTCGCATGACCCCGCAAGTCGCGTACCAAAGTAGATTGGATATCCTTCTTCTTCTTCTTCTTCTTCTTTTTTGGGGGGGGAGGTGTGGGGTTCGGGGGGGAACAGTTTTGTTTTTTTTGGTGGGGTGACGGCTTCAGCCGTTTTGTTGGGGATCTGCTTCAGCGAGGCCTGGAGAAGGAGAACCTCAAGCCCAAGGTGTTGGCCAAGGAGGTGTGGTCCGTGGGGCCACAGGGGGGTTCCAGGCACCCGTCCCTTCAGGGGCGTTCCCTAAGTGAACCCCCCTCCAAAAGGGACACCCCCCACTCAAAAGGGACACCCCCTATTCATTACCCAGACCCTTCATTCATTTGGGGTCAACTTGATCCAATCAGCGACTTTGAGCTATCAGCGAGCCGCAAAGTGGCGCGATACGATCCGAAAGGAGGCACGTAATTCCATAGCCCCAAACAAAGGCTGCCTGCCTTGTGTTCGCATGCCATGCTCTTGGGGCTGGGCTGAGTAAGTGAAGGGATAGCAAATCACAACAATCTATCATATCTATCCTTTGTTCGCACCCCCCAACCACTGCTTTTTGCACAGTGCTTGGGATTTTGGACCTGGGACAAGTAGTTGTTGGGGTGGGGGTGGGATGCTGGTTGTGGCTTCCATTTTAGTTTAGCAGTTGCAGAGATTTGTGAACTGAAATGCACCTTGTTTCCTTAAACGTCATTTACACCGCAGTCATGCTGCATGTGACAGCTCACTAGCGTAGACATCAAAGATAGTTCGTCCTGCAATTGCACAGCAGCGGGGTTTGAGTAGGCACGTAGATGGAGGCTAGGGCTATATTTCTACGTTGGGAGCAATACACATTTGCAAGCGTTGCGACATGCTCGCTTTTGCTCGCAAGGTGTTCAGGAGCTTTTTCTGGAATGTCCTGCACGAGTGTTGTAAGCGCTGACATGGATGTCACTCAAGACCTCCAAGGTCTGCCTGGCCCTTTGAAATAAGAAGGAAATCATTGGGCGCGTCTCTAAATTGGGTGGCCCCATCCAGGTATAGTTGCTCCTCGAAATTGGGTGGCCCGGTTTCTCGTTTCCTTTTTGGATCCCCCTCAAAACCCATCCAAGAGGCGGTCCCCTTTGAGACATGCCATACGGCATGTCCGCTCGAGTCACGCCCCAACAGGACAGGCCGAGGGAGGAGAAAAAAACACCGCCGGCCAGGCGGGTGGCACTGGTTAGCCAGACGGTTTGGTTTGGCCGCAATCTGGGCGTACACACTTGGTGGTTCCCAGCCATTTGCTTTTCAGGGGGTTAAAGGGTTTCCATTGCACCCACTATTAAACTTTTTGGAGGGATCTGAGGACAGCCCAGAGCAAATTTCGTGATTGCCAACCAGAAAGCAATTTGCGGCCACAGCCTGAACCTTCAATCATCTAGCAAGATATTGGCCGGGCGGCAGTTGAAGTGTGGGGAACAGTGCCAATAAACGAAGTAGGCGCAGATATTGGACCTGCTGATTTTATACATACCGGTTTGAGTGCACTATTTTCGGTGCCAGCGCCCGCAAGTTTTATCGCTCAAGTCGGGTGACTGGTGGACCCAATCAGTCTTGCCTGTGCTCGACCTGAGGATTGCGACCTCGTGCTCAAACATGGGCCAGGTAAAGTGCTCCAGGTCCTCAGGAAGTCTGTCAGCTTTACATTTGCTCACGGACTGGTGAACAGCGAAAGAAGAGCCGCGTCTCCAAAATCGATTCGGGTAGATGAAGTTTCGTAGGGGACAGTCCCCTTGCATACATGGGTGCCTTCGCCGCCGTTTTAATTATTTACATAGTTTTGGAAGGCCATTTTAATACTGTTCGGTCCTGATTTTGACTCATACTCATGTTGTGCATGCGCCAAGCTGTATTTAACAACATTTCTCCATGATGCCTGGCATTCGAGCGGTGCTTGGAGTTGTGCGCGATCTTACAAGCCAGTAATTGTGTTGACAGCCCGCCTCACCCCCTCCCCTCCCCATTTGCGTGAAGGCCTTAGTGGGGCGGGGCCCGGGGCTGGAGCCGGTTGTCTTTTCAGGGCCACGGCGTCCAAGACGCCCAGGCCTGCCCCTAGGCAAGTCGGAAGTCGGAAGTTGTGTGGCCGGAGGCGTCTTTTGACTGTCTAGGTCCCCTAGTAGTGCCAACTTTTACCGTTTCTTTTTTGGGGGAGGGTTCCCCTAAAACAATAGACTACAGAAACAAAAACAAAATCGGGTACCCTTATTCTAGCCTCTCTACTGGAGGACCTAGCTGTAACCAGAGGCTGTCCGTTGTAAGTTGGTTAGAAATCGATGGGCTTCGCGGGTTTAAATGTTGGTTGTATGCCCCATTTACCCGGGGCATTATTCTTTGTTCAAGGCTAGTTTGGTACCCATAGGTGCCCTTCTTAGGTTAGTTTGGTCAGAAATAGATGGGTCCCATTCGTTTACAAGATTGATTTTATGCCCCATTTCCCGGGGAAGCCCATTGAATTTGTTCAACAGGTCACCTATGAACTGTACTTGATTGATCCGCGCTGATAAGAGTACGATTTGCACACGTGCGCAACTGTGTTTTTTGCAAGTGCAGCAAACTCCCCCCATTGACGCAACGAGTTGTTGTTTTCAAAAGGGGGGCTAAAGTTTACCCCTGGTTCGCAACCCCCTCTTCTCCCCCAAGGTCGACATGGCCCAGAAAAGCTGAATTTCGAACTGGAGAGTGCAAGTGGGACTGGCCTCGAAGAGGGTACCCTTTCTGAGCTTGTCAAACCTGGGTTCGCTGTTTCTGGCTAGCCAATTTTCGGTTTCGGGACAAAGCAAAGCCTGAAGACGTAGACTCGAATGAATAAATTCCCGGCAAACGTATCTTAGGTACTATTGGAGACTGGACATAGCTGCGCCTTCAACACTCTGAAGCCGGCTTTATTGATAGGCTAAGCCGCAAAAATCGATACTTGTTTCTATGAACTGGAGCCCATGACCGTAGTGAAAGGCTAGTTGCTTGGGTAAGGCAGTCAAGTACAACATGCTTTCTTGGAGTTTGATGGCGGTTACGCCAGGTCTCCCCAACCCCGAACCCAGGCAAGCAATACATCAAGATACTTACATCAAGATATTGACCCTCCCTCGGGTGCTCTCACGTTTTAGTGGCCGGCGCCGAGATTTTCCGAGTCCCCTTGAAGTTGTTTTTTTCTGGCAACCATTTTGAAGCTGTCTTGCGAGTACCGTGGCCAAGGTGCAGCCGGTTCATTCATCTGCCATAGGTCCTGGCCAGTGCATGATTCTCCCAGATTGTGTTCTTCAAGGTTCTTGGCACGTTTTTTAGTTGTTGAGTTCTCCTCATTCTTACTGGGGGGCTGCAAAAAAACAAAGTTTGTTGCTACCCATGCCAAGAGTTGTCGATTTGTCCTTCCCGTTTTTTTGGGGCCGTCACTTTGGACCTGCTTGGCAGGTCTATGAACTCCTCCCTGAATACGTCCTTGAACACCAGCAGCGCGGCGGAGAATGAGGCAGCGGCAGCGGATGAGCCAACTGACGTCTTCGGATGCGTTCGGAGTGAATCCGTTGGTCCGGCGGAAGCACATGTCCTCAAGGAAATGTTCGCTGGTTTTTGTTGGTGTCGTTGGTGTGGTTTTCGTTGGTGTCAGCTGTATGTTCGCTGGTTTTTGTTGGTGTCGTTGGTGTGGTTTTTGTTGTAAGGTTGGGGCTACGCTTGGGAAGGCTTGGTGGCCAAGGCTTGCTTGAGTGCAGCGAGACGGAGACAGCGCGCAGTGGGCTTTCTCTAGGCCCCGAGCCCTTGAAGGCCCCTGGAAGATGGTTTCTTCGGCAGGAAATGGCGCCCAGAAATGCCCGGTCCTGGAGATTCATTCTCCGGCCTTTTCCTACTTGGAAGGGCGGGGTGGTTGCAAGTATTTGGCTCAAATAGCTCAGTCTGCAAGTTCGCCAAGTGCATACTTGCAAGTTTGCGAAGGTATACCTTAGCACAGTTGTAAATCACACATCCTCTGCATACTTTGTTCCCAATTTACTATATTGTTTGGAGGCATTTGCATTTAGATACGATCTGTTGAGTGTAACTTAGCGCGGTTGCAAGTTCACACGAAGTACTTACAGCCAAGTATGCTAAGTAGTTGGGTTTAACTTTTGCTTACTTAGCTATGTTCGCTAAGTACATTCTAGGCTTGTTTTGGGGTGGTCACACATGCAGTGTTTTTTGAAAAAAGCACATGCCAACCACCGCTGGAAAACCATTTTTGTTTTGCATCACCCATGGGCGCTCAGCCGTTTTTTTGCGCTTTGAGCAAGGAACGACCTCCCTAGTTTTGGTTTTGGGGGCCTTTTATAGGGAAAAACACATCTGTGTATACCCTCAAACGGTTGCTTTACATTTGCAAAAGGGGGTGATGTGATGCAACTCCGCCATAAATATCATTACTTCCCGGTGTTGTATAAAGGGGATCCATGCGTTTTACTTTCTATATACTGGGCATGGACGTTTTAGAATCGCAGGGCATTGGCCAGAGAGATGTAGCAGGTTTGGGGTCTCAACCCCTAAACCATATAAAAGGGGCCCAGTTTTCGAGGGTTATATATAAATATAAACATGTATATATGTATATATATATATATATTTATATTTATATATATTTATACTTAACCCCGTTGCTGCCCTCGGCACCGGCTATACAGGTTTGCCAAGGTGGCGTGGCCCGCGCGCCGGCCAGCCAGCTGCGGCGCCAAGCAGGCCTGCAAACGGGCATGCCGCAGGGGGGTGTTTGCCATATTTGGGAATTCCTTTTTGTTGTGCATTTTGCATGGGATCTGGTCAAAGGGAAAGAAACAAAAAGGACATTAGAAGGACTATTTATATATATATCTAGCTGGTTATAGTTTGTGATGCTGACACCTATATTTGAGATGGACAGGGTTGGTTGCAAAATGGAAGAGTGCTTCAGAAAAGGCTATAGTTATGTTTGGGAAAACTCATGTTCTAGATATATGTTTAAACACAAGGCGTGGGAGCCCAGTTTCACAGGTTGGATCACCAAATTAAAAAGCACCTAATAACGGCAAGGAACATATCCAGTTTTATTTTTGGAGCAAGGGGCCCAAGATGTAACTATAGAAGCAGTAAGAAAACACTTGCTATGGTTGTGGCTTCAGGGTGTTATGTCTCATCCATCACGCAAAGAACAGCCCTCCTTATAAAGAATGAATTTGGGGGATGTTTTCAACAAGTTATGTTTTCAGGCCTTTTCAAGGCCAGCCCCAAACCAACCCTCGAATTTGGGGGATGGTTTCAACAAGTTATGTTTTCAGGCCTTTTCAAGGCCAGCCCCAAACCAACCCTCGAATTTGGGGGATGGTTTCAACAAGTTATGTTTTCAGGCCTTTTCAAGGCCAGCCCCAAACCAACCCTCGAATTTGGGGGATGGTTTCAACAAGTTATGTTTTCAGGCCTTTTCAAGGCCAGCCCCAAACCAACCCTCGAATTTGGGGGATGGTTTCAACAAGTTATGTTTTCAGGCCTTTTCAAGGCCAGCCCCAAACCAACCCTCGAATTTGAGTATACATTGTTTGGGATGCATGCATCAACCAGTGGTGTTTTTGAGGCACTTGAAGGCCAGCCCCAAACCAACCCCCGAATTTGAGGCATGTTTTCAATCGGTTGTGTTTTTGAGGCCCTTCAAGGCCAGCCCCAAACCAACCCCCCGAACAAGAAGTTGGAGGTGACGATTGCCAGTGACATTCAGTTTGAGCGCAGGGCTGAAGCTCGCGCTTGGATGCAGGGCAGAGAGCTCGCATCTTGCAAGAATCTTGGCTCGCGAGGGCTTGTGGTGTACAGAGTGGCCTCCTTGCTGCGATGCCTCTCAACACGGAGGTCTTGGATGAGTTGGATGTGCTCATCCAGCAGGCAGAGAAGAAAGGTATAGTCAAGGGCGCGCAGCAAATCATGGGCTACCTGGCGAAGACTGGCTTGATGGTGTCGCAGCAGATACCTGCAGAACAGGTGGGGTGTCACCCCCTGAATCGTGACGGGTACGGGGTCAACCCCAGAGATGTTCACAGCTTGGTGTCTGGAATTGCCTCTGTGGGCTTTGACGCAGGGCAAACACACCCCATCTGCACGGAGATCTTGCCAAGTGACACGGAGTTGGTCAGCTTTAACCAGGCACTGGCAGATGGATCCAACGGTCTTTTGCCACCCATGGCCAATTGCATGCGGTACGCATCTCTGGCTAACTCCCACACCAATGCGGCTTTGAGATGCATCTTGGCGTCTGTGCCGCATGATGATCCTGATTTGTGCACGCACGGGCACTTGTCCTTGGATGTCATCAGACAGAAGGACCCGGGCCTAGCGTTAGCAGCTGAGCAGGGGCTGGTTTGGCGAGTCATCAGTTTGCAGGTTGCCGAAGCCAGACCGCAGTTGCTGTCGATCATCCAGGCCTCTTCAAACACGGCCGGACAGCTCCAGAGAGGAGAGCATGAGTCGCAGATGATGAGGCGCATCCGCAATGCGGTGTTTGGCCCTTCAAAGGGGAAGAAGTGGCATGAGATAAAGGGGGAACTTCAAAGATCGAAGCCGCAATGTGCTGAAGCTATGCCGCACATATACGCGTTCATCGTGAAGTTTGCCGGACCTACGGGGTTGCTCGACAGAACGGAGGATTACATCAGAGCGCACGCGCCGTCGTCACGGCAACTAGGTGCCGCCTTCTTTGACCAGTTGTCAATGGAGCGCCGCCCTGCCAGCAGCGACCCTTGGGTCTTCTTCCGGCATGCATGCATGCGGGTGGGCTACACCACGGATGTGCACATCACGGCGACCGACATCAAACGGATGTTCGGGCGCCAGTGCGCGGACAAGGTGGAGAAGGCCAATGCCATCATGCGGAGGATGCACGAGTTGACGTCCGAGCTTGAGCAGCGATCCATATGGCAGGCGCTCGGATGGTTTCACCAGGACGTGGTCATGCAGGCCCTCGAGAAGCGACAGAAGGACTTTGATGTCAGCTCCACGTTTGAGGAGGCAGCGGCACGGTGCATCCATGAGATCCAACAGGTTACCAGCAACAAGCTCACGTCAGAGTGGGACCGGTGGATGGTTTCCGACGCAGTGCCTGCTGCAAGCACAGGCACCTCCACTGACGTGGCGCTGCATCATGTCAAAACTAACACGTTGTGCATGCCTTTAAGCCTCAACCAAAGTATTGATTAATTTGTTGGATTTGTTTGGCGATATTTTTGGGCCCTTTCCCCACCCCCCAGATCCCACTTGAGGCCTAGAGAGTATGCTCCAGATGGTACTGTGGCAGATCATGCGACCTTGTTGCAGGAGGGTGGCTTTGAGATTGGCCAGTTGATAGAGAGGAAGGCTGACCGTGTGATGGCCAAGCTGGACAGGGTTGCAGGGAACAAAGCCGTCCTTTTGCTTCAGGATGGTCCTCTTTCAGGGTGGGCAACTGTAAGCGTTGCTTCCTTGCTGAAGGGGGAGTGGAAGAAGGCCGCGCCAAAGGTCGACCCAGTCGAGTTGCCCGACTTTCACGGTTGTTTGCCAACGTGTTCCAGGGAGTTGTGCCTCATGCAGGTGAAAGGCTCCATTGCCGGCAAGCTTTTGGACTTGGAGAAGAAGCACATTAAGGTTCATGATGGGCTGAAGGTGTTCCTGAAGCCAATGAAGGCAGTCATTGCCCAGAAGCGTTTTGGGAAGGGTGAGCTGGTCCTAGTCCCATCTACAACAAAGATTGTCACTGAGCAGCCGCAGTCTGGAGTTTGCCTGGGCAGCGTTGGCTTGGCCCAGGAGATCGAATCGGCTGACATTAGCCTATGGTTGGCTCCATGCACAATCCTGCCAAAAGAGGGTGGGCTCAAACAGCCCTTCGTTGCGCCTTTCTGGTTTGTCCGAAGCACCAGTGTGAAGGAGGATGCGAACTGCGAAGTTGTGCCGGTGATGGATTCTGACCATCCCAATCATTTGTTGAAGGTGCCCTTCCTGCGGAATTTCAAGCCAATTAAATCCGATGAAGAACTGTTGTGTTTTGCTGAGAAAGTGGCGAAGCAAGCTTCAGTCGAAGCGTTGACGCAAATGACGCCCGAACCTCCGACAAAGAGGAGGCGCGGCAAAGGGCAGGCGGTATGAATGCGATGGCCTACGAAGATTGGCTGTATATATGGAGATTGAACAGGGCGTGGCGTAAACAACTAAGTATAGAGTGCGCGTAGAGATCTGTGAGAGCAGGGTGTTTACTTTCAATCAAATCCTTTACACCGACACGCTCCCTCTCGCCAGGTTATACTTCGACCGTGCCTGGCCACGCGCGGAGGCCAAGCCAGCCCTGCAGCCACCATGAGTGTTTTCACAGTGGAGTGTCGCCTCTCAAGTGAATTCATGATTGAGGGTCACAAGCACGGAATGTTTGGAATGCTTGATAGCACATGACGGATACATATACGGCATGATACCTTTGGTGTTCCAGCTGCAGGCATTTGGAGGGTCAAGCAGGTG